CTCCTGTCTTGCACCTTACCTAGTAATTATTTAAATAGGGAAATTATATATTGATCAAGTACATGCATTAAAAACCGTAAAAAAAATTCAAATAGAACATTATGGAACGAAGGGAGTACCTGGTAGCAACCACCACATCCAGTGCCGTTTTTGTAAGGTCTATGGACACCAGCTACATAACCATCATTAGCACTTCTTCCATATTCTCCATATCCACATGCTCCAGCTGATTAGATGAAATTAAATCCATAATATTAATTATGTTATCATCCACTCACGTCATAATTAACTAATTGAGTATACAACTATAAAATGAACAGTTTAAACATAAGCATAAAGTTCATATACTAGTATTATTTACTAATGAAAGAAAATTTAATATATTAATAAATCCTACAAAAAACATTAATCTGAAGATTATTAAGCATTTGATATATATGGACTTCAAAGAGTGATAAAATAGATTAGCCTTTAGAGGATCCTCTAAGAATTGATAAACATAGTATAAAACAGGTTACATATAAGAAGCTAATATACAAAATAATTATTAGTTACATTGGTCCACTCGTGTTTCTAAAAAGAATTATCAAACCAAACTTATACTCCATACCATTTTAGATTATGCATTTAAATGCTTAAATATATAACCCTAAAATCTACCTATATAGTTACCCTTTAATTTAATTTAATATACATTGGAATAGTTGGTCACTAATTTGTTTCCTCACATATATTGATATATATACATGAGCATATAATATAATAGAGATCAAATATAATAATATCGTTAATTTTTTAATTATAAACGTGATAATGTTACGGAAAACTATTTAAAATTAAACGTCTCATCATTTTCACAAAAGTACTCAAATGATCAATTTATACAGTAAATAACTTTTTCCGTACTCGTAAAAAGTTAATAAGGACCTAATAAGCTGTAAGGAAAGGAAAAAAAAATCGCTAATATGCAAATTTTTTTTTTTTTTTTGGACTGGCTCTAATATGATAGTTAAGACACCATGCATGCTACTAAAATAGAGTAGAGAAACAAAATGGCATACTTGGGTTCCCTTGACAATTTGGACTACCAAAATAGGTTGCTCTAGAGCAGATATAATCTTGACCGTATCCAAGTACAAATAACAACATCATTATTATCAAATGAAGTATAATTTTTTTGTAATTAAGGCTAAACCCCATTTTTTTCAAGGATTAGTAGAAATGAAAACACAACAAGCTAAGAATGCAAGAAGCTAGTATAAAAAAGATAGTTGTAGAAATGGTGAGAAATGAAGTTAGAAACCTTAGATATTTATAGCACATAATTTTGAATAGAAACTAAAAAATATTAAATAATAAATTAAAATTTAAATAAAATGAAAAATTCTAGAAATTTGCCTTCCACTATTGTGACAGAGACAGTAGATAGAGTTATTTAGAGATTATGTAAAGTTTAACAATGAACCAATCACTAATAATTTAGTCTTCATTAAACGAAAGTTCCTTATTAGTTTTAATTTAATGTATTAATCACTTTTTCAGTGCACTTAGGTTTATCATTATATCTGTCAAAAAAAAAAAAAAAAAAAAAAAGGTTTATCATAATAGTTAAGGAAGATGCTATGAGTGATAGTACTAAAAAATTAAACAAGTACAACGCTTTTATTTTTTTAGCACTCAAGTATTCAATTTTGTCACAACTGAGTTAGCAGCTTAATTAGGACACAAGGGAATAAAAAATCTCTAGATATTTTCTTATGACTTTATTTTTTATTTTTTTTTTTTGACAAATAATTGTGACATTAGAATTTTGTAGTTAAGTCAAGTCTTATCAACTTTCACATACACTTTTTTCTTTTTATAGCCATCACATTTTCATAAATTACATAAAAATTATAACATATCATCTTATAAAATTAATTCTTAAGTAAACTAATGCGCCCATTATCATAAGTAATAAAGAAATTTGATCTTGCCACATCTTCCCAAGACAATCAACCCCTAAAAAACATATTAGAGAAAGTAAATAATTTAATTACTTAAAATAATTTAAACATCAACAAAATGCAAATAAAATTAATAAAAGTAGGTTTTTAACGAAGTTTTCTTTAACAAAAAAAAAAGGGTTTTATGAATGAAAATATTATGTTAAACACATGTAGTCTATGTACATGCCATCAATATGACAATACATGTACGGAGTATATGTTGAGGCGGATTGCTACCATAGGCTATACTTAAATCAACAAAATTACCTCTTTGTCAGGCTAGACTCTCCCAATTCAATTCATATCTATTCCAAGTCTTATTATTAAGGTTATACTCAAAGTGTTTGCTCACCATTTTGATGGGTAGGCAACTTATCATTGAAAGATAAACTTGTACGTGTCAGACCTAATAGTGTAATTAGTTTCCTCGATAAAGTAGTGACGTCTTTTTCAATCTTTCCAAGTTCATTAGCTTATTGATAGATAACAGTACATAGCACCTGTGTTTGCCAAAAAAAAAAAAAAAAAAAATCAATTTCAAATTGCCCTCAACATATTTATAGTTATTGATAATCTTGGCATGATTTCTTGTACTTCATCCGTTTTTAGGTTGTTACGGAGTAATATAAGATGCATGTATTATTAATTAATAAAATTATGAACAATATTACATTCCACTTCATAAAATATTAAGTTAAGCTAAATTTGAAAACGTGCTTCTACTACGTATTAAGGCAGTTAACAGAGGACAGTAAAAGCAAAATTACTCATGGTTTTTGAATGATTGTAATTATGTGAAAAATCACGTTTATAGGGAGTACCTAGGCTTTATTTTTTAGTTTGGAGAAAATTCCATAAGATAATGACGTAAATAAAAATTGTAAGGTCTTTGATTACCATCTTTTAAAACTAATTTTGATCAAGTAATCTAGTTGACACATACGAAAAGAATACTTTATAAAAGTGGAATTTTATATTCTTGTTACGTCGTTAGTTTAGGTTGAAAAGAAAGCAAAAGTGGGGAACAACGAACAAGGCCAACAAAGCCCTCCACAATAATCTGCATGTCAAAAACGTTTACATCAGACTAGTTTCCCAAAACCCATTAACTAAATAACAAGTTATAAAAGATCATGATAGCTTCCAAACTATTAGTTATTGAAACCAAATTCTCTTTCAATTTAGGCCCTATTTTCATCTTAATTTTGCTGAACTGAAATTATTTTTACTGAACTGAATTTATTTTTACTGAACTGAATTTATTTTTACTGAACTTAAATTATTTTTACTGATTTTCTATTATAATTCTTTTTTAAGAAAACTGAATTTTACTGAACTGAATTTATTTTTACTGAACTGAAATTAATTTTACTGAACTGAACTTATTTTTACTTAATATTAATTTTTTAAGGTGAAAAGAACAAGGCCTTAGTTTGAAATTTTCCTCCTTAATGCTGTAATGTAAAGGGCCTCCAACAATGTTTTTTTGCTTATATATGAGTATGAAAATTTACCTTTTTAATATAGTCCAATTTCTACTAAATTCTTCTATTCCAACTGGCTTGCAAAGAGTGTATGGTTCACGCAAATAAGGTACAGAGTACATGGTAATGGCTGAGAATCGCAGAAAATCCAAATCTACTGTTTTTAAAAGATAAATACTGTAATTTTTTTTCTAAACTCGTCATTACCTCAAATCGCACAAAAAGTGTGGGGTTTATAAACTCATATCAACCTGCATTCAATCTTAATTTCAAACCATACTATCTAGTGATTTTGTGGACTAGATACTCAGGGTCTGTTCACATTTACTGAACTGAGCTGAACTGAACTGAACTAAATTGTTTGGAGCTGAACTGAACTGAACTGAACTGAACTGATTGGAGCTGAACTGAACTAAGCTGAAATGAATATTTTATGAGAGAGGGAAATTAAGAGTTGAACTGAACTGAACTGATTGGAGTTGAACTGAACTGATTGGAGCTGAGCTGAATTGAACTGAACTGAAATTAAGTAAATGTGGACAGACCCTCACTTAGTATTATCCTTGTAACATTTTCCCCTTCTTCAAAAACAGCCAAATAACGATGTAAAAGTACAAAGGTGTCACGACTCAGGAATAGAAAGATAATTCTATGGTTTATAATTAGGGTTGAATAATCATTTATACCTAAAATTACTTATTCATTTTTTCTATCATTAGTGGTTCTAGGTAACATAGTTAACATTCCAAAAAAAAAAATGTTAACAATGGAAGTTTTTTTTTTTTTAAAAAAAAAAGACATTGTCAAGTCAAATTTGAGTTAGGTACAAAGCCTTCTTGGATAGCCATGTGGAAATTTAAACTAACCAATATATACTATAGGTAATTATGTACTAGTAACGAAAATAAAAATAACATGACCTATATATCTTAATTGTGCAATCATCATCCTTACGTATTTGTGATTAATTCGACCTTTATGAATTTATAATTTAACTTCAAAATACTCATATATACCCACCACACAAACATATTTACCTATCCTATATTTAGACTAGACGTTTGAAAAGAATGATATGCTTCAAATTCTGCCAATGAATTTTCTTCCAAGGTGCTAATCCTTGAAAAACCTTTTACCCAATAAAACAAAGAATTTGTGAGATCTTGCTTTTCCTTCTACTTTGAAGAGAATTATTTGACCTGATAGGCAATTGGGTGGACAAAAAGAACAGTTTTAGGGTGAATAGCACTAGTTGCAAAACCCCCTGACATAAATGATAAATCCTCATGTACATGTACCGTGTTCGACTACGACTCTTGGACATGTGCATGATGTTTAGGGCACTATAGCTTGTATCGGGTTATCTTCGTGTTGGAGTCTTACAAGATTGGGGACTCGTATTATACTATTTCTTAGAGTGTAATTGTCATGTTGATAGTGTAATTTGAAAACGTGACAACTTGATCAACACGAAGACAACCTGCATGGCTAATAAATGCCTAAATGTGCAAATAGTAACAAGACCATCTGTTTTGAATCTTAAGATAATGGACAATTGACCATCTATTTTGAATTATAGGATAATGGAAAACTGCAAGGCTTTCACTTCATCAAAATAATAAAATCCTGTGGGCATTTTCATCAACCTAATCTTGTAATCCTGACAACAGAAAATATACATGATCTTAACTTGGCAGCACCTTCCTTACAAACAGCCAAATATACAGGTTCGTCCCTTTCCTCGTCAAACATACACCTATTATCATCAAAATATCAAGATTCTGTTTAAATGTGTAGTACATCATCAGAAAAGAATGTAGAAATATTAAACGTACGGCATGTCCTCCAGGTAAAAAGAGGGTACTTGATAGTCCAAACAGGCTCTCAGGGTTCCTGCACATCATTTTATGAGCTTACATGAACAACATTCAATTGAAAATTTCCTCAGCAAATATGAATATAACTTACCAAAACTGATAGAAGGAGAATCATGCAGTTCTAATCTAATTGTGCTGGTAAACATCAGATAATGCAATCTGGTGGACAGAAGTTGAAAAGGGAAGAACACACTTTCTGTTGCAAAGCAAATTATGAAAATGAGAATTATTGCATGATCCATCCAGAAAAAGGCCCTTATCAACAGCAAAAGGTTTATGTCACAAATTTGCAACGTGTGAGCAAGACACATAGTATAGGAGCACATACATGCAGCAATACTCATTTCTGAAATTAGTCATCAATATGATTCCATTTGGTGGAGGACAGAAGTCCAAAGGGGAGCATACAGAGACACTTTCTGTTGTGAAGCAATTAAGCAAATTTTGAAAATGGAAATTATACATTATCATTCCAGAAAAGGCTCTAACCACCAGCAAAAAGTTTACATGGCAAATTCACGACATGGGAGTAAGACACAGTAAAAGCTCTTTCTGTAAACCTTAAGGCGGCAGGGATCAAATGATCAAATCACTTTCTCAAGGTTGCTGTGAGCGTTCCAGCAAGTTGCACAGAATGGACACGCGCAGAAGAGGTGTCACTATCGATATTTTAATTAAAACTAATTTTCATTATGTAGAGCATTATACTTAGATAAATCCAGCTGTCTGTTCTAAATTCATAGACCAAGATGCATATTATAAACACAAAATGGATGGCAATAAAGACGATACAAAGCTGTCTTCCTTTTCGAAAACCAGCAAAAGCTGCCACTTGGCAAATAAATAAGCTAGCAGTTGTCTTAAGAAAATTCCAATGGGCTCAACTCCACAGTGCCCATGAGATCAGCTCATCTTAATGGGAAGACAGATATTTCAAAAGGTAAAGATTTATAATGGGTGGACCAGGGAAAGCATTTGAGTTTTTCTCATTAGTTAGTCATTAGAACCCCTTAATCATAGCATTAGCACCAAAAAAAGCACTTCTAATCATCTATTAAGTAAGCTGGAAAATTCTACCAGCTGCCTTAAATAGGTCTGATGTACTTAACTAAAATTAATTACCAAAAGTGTGACAAAATTCAATGTCACTGGCAAGTAAAGAATAAAAAGTGCAATTTTACTCGGGAAATTCATATATAACACAATAGTGGCAATATTATGTTATGCCACCTAACATGTTCCCTTTTTCAGATTATTCTCTCAATCAATTTGAGGTTTTTTAGAGTTGGAAGTACCCAAACTTTACCCGTGCAATAACAGAAAGGCTAAGCCCAGTTAATACTTTGACCCACAATGCACCAACCATATAGTTCATAATAAGAAAAAAGTACAAATAGTTTGATAAAGGGTTTTACAGTAGCCCATAATCCAAAGCCAAATGATAATGAATCCTTGCCTCCTTTAGATTAAAGGGTTATGTCAGTCAAATACTATGCTAACTATACTAGCTTCTAACCAGCATCTGTTTTATAAGGTCACAACCTTCCAATTATTATTTAGTACGTTCAAGAAATATATTAAAAACTAATATAACTAACATTAATGGTTGGGAAATAGTGTTTCAAATTTTTAAATGCAAAGACCAGACAATAGCATAAATTGACATATATATAGATACAAGTATACAACACAATAAATGTCTCCTCATTATATCTGTTCCCGAGATGTATATGAACATCTCAAGATAGAGGGGTGTACATTATAAGCTTGTTGCTTAGTAAACACAAACAATAAGAAGAACACAAACACACACTCACACACACACACAAATCACAATAAAAATAAATAAATAAATAAGCCACGTGAAGGTCGTGAACTACTTGGCTACTGATGTATCGCACATAGGTGACTGATTTAGCACCAAGAAATAAGATATCGGTATCTATAATTTTCCTTTTTTTGTCTTTGTCTTGTCATGTGAACTCCAGCATCTATGTTACAATATATTCTTCAACTAATTTACAAATAATTAGGAATATACTTCGATAGATTTATCAACAAGAAAACATACACCTAAAAATACTAGAAAGAAAAACCTTCAAGATGTTTAACCAAGATCTACAGCTAACTAGAGATCTGAATCGTTGGAGGAACTAGTGAAAGTTTACCTGAATCATAGTTATGTCCACCAGCAAAGGTCTTTCTAATATCTAAATAAACTGGGCTTTCTTCAGGTCTGCAATGACTCCCTTGTCCTCTTTGCTTCTTTCATTGTAGATAACCTGCGAAGTTGAAAAAAAAAAATTGTATGAGATGTTCAGTTTCCTAATCAAGGACAATGGAGTAGAAATCTTTAGTATGAAAAGAAACAACAGTTCCTGTACATAGGTATACCTTATCAATGATACCATATTCAACAGCTTCACTCGGGCTAAAATATTTTGGACGTCGGATGTCAGCCTCAATCACTTCAGGAGGTTTTCCAATATGTCTTGAAAAGAGCTTAACCTTTAAGACAAACAATATATGTTACCCTCAATTCTAATATCAAAATCTCAGCCATCAGCAGCAGATCTAAAGTTTAATACAAAGTATTAGAAATAATCAACAGCTATGGATCATTTTGCATTGCCAATTGCTAGAAAGTACTCTGTAGTACAAAAGAAACAAATTAATGCAGAAGAAACAACTAAGGTCCTGTTCAGTTCACCTAAATTTTTCTAGACTGAAATTACTTTCACTGAATAAACTGATTTTTACTGAAACCTATTTAACTTTGACCGGATAAAACTCATTGTTACAGATTATGGCTGATTTTTAACGTATATGATTTTATATAGATTGAACAGGACCTAATTGACACTTTTTTCATATAAGCACTTGGACGTACAGACACTACAATAGTTTGCATAAAATAATTGTTAAAAGGTTTATAGTATAGAGGGTCATTCAGGTTATATTTTTTTCTTTTTTTTTTTCCCCCTCCTATTAAAAAGAGAAGGCCATGAAGGTCCCAGGATGAAATATACCCTTCCACAGAAAAACAAAAAGCAGAAAGAGCATGAGGAAAGCCACTAGATTTTTGAGAACCCACACATGGCCACACCTGCTTTTTTACTTCAAGTCAGTACCTTCTCTTACAAAGTGAACTGAACTTACCATAGTAGATGTACTTGATTATTATCACTAGATTCAGTAAAGTGAAACATCAAATTTTGCAACAAAATAGAACAATATTGCTAGGTTGGCAGTTGGGTTTAAGATTCTTCCTTAGGCAGAAGACCAAAACATGCACCTAAAGCCAAATCTTTTCCCCTCTCATAGGCACGAACTGGGAATCAGTGTGTGTGTGTGTGTGATTGGGGGGGGGGGGGGGAGGTGTAGTTGTAGGCACAACATGGAAAACTAAATCATCAAAGCAAGTGATTACAAGGATCTGAACGTTTTTTAAGGTCTGTTAACTGTTGTGCAGTACCATTGATCATTACAAATTTAGCTAATATGCAGCCAACAAATGACGTACTTTCTTTTGCTTAATAAAGCAAGCAAATAGACCTTGGAATAAAATAAATGTGCAGTCTAAACTCAATGTTGGAAAAAACTCAAAACATTATTGGAGACTTTAGTTCTTTTGAAGATGTGATTAAACTTAGCAATTAATACAAAGAGTGAATATAGCATATTATAAACCTTTGATAAATCAACCATCCAATTCCATACACGGGTAATTTAATTTACAACATTTCCTTTTTAAATAACTTGAAGATCAATGTAAGATTATAAACCTTATAAACATTTAAATATCTGATATCAAACATAATTATCCATTAAACAAGCTCATAAAATTTCTCACAAACATTCAACTTTGTGGTACACATGGCTAGATCTTTAATAATGACATTTTTTATACAAACATGCATTACATACTAAATGATTGCATATATAAACCAGTACCAGGTAATTGTGTAAAATGATGAAGACATCCACACAGCTTAATTGCCCTTTCGTGAAATAACATCTCAATATAATGTATAATTGATAATAAAACAATGCCAAGATATGAATTATGTAAGTCATTACCAATTCTGTCTTCACATTTGTTACTTCTTTCCTGGCAAGTTCAACATCACTTGCTTGACCTTGGAACCTAGCAATTGGCTGCAGAAATTGCACAGAAGGGTTTTTAAAACCATCTGAAGAATATATGCATCTTGAGAGCAATTATGTGGGAGAAGGTGTGGAGAAGAGAAATCATCAATGTCGAGTTAAATAATGACCTGTTTCATCATGATGGTAGAGGATGGAAGGGCAGCACGATTTCCCTTTGCACCAGCAGCTAGAAGCAAGGCTGCCTCTCCCCAGGCATTGCCAACGCATAGAGTAAAAATAGGTGGCTTGACATACCTGAAAAAGATCAAATACCAAAATCAACGATGAACCAGCAAAATCCGGATAGCACTTGAATAGTTGAATATATAAAATTGTAATTTCATATTTTCAGCAGCAAAGATTTTAATTAAAAAAAAATTAAAAAAAAAAAAAAAACAACTGAAGAATATAACCTCATAACATCGTATATAGCAAAAGCCTCTGTTTCATACCCCAGCTTCTCACCACCCTAAAGGAGAAAAGGTGAGATAACCATCAATATCAGCACCAAAGACCTAGCATTAGACGACAAATTGAAAACGGATGGCAATAAAAGAATTCAAAAGACAATATAAACAAGTGATATAGGAAATCCGCAACAACTTCCACAAATTTGGTACATTTGATTAGCTTCGAGAATATCGCTGTAGGAACTAATCTTCTATAAGCACAAGCAAGATATTAAAAAACTGCTAAAGACCACCATTAGAAAAGGAACTTGTCAATGGAGAACATAGGAAAACCATTTCAGTAATGATCTTTACACTGGCAAAGGTCTGAGCAGATTGTCATTGAATTTTTGCCCCTTTATCTCAAGTGACAAGTTTCACCACCACTGAAGTCTTCAATAACATATCAGTGCCCTCGTCACAAAGGTATACTACCTCACAGTCAAAGTATCACCACTTCACCACTGATCATCAATAATTTAATCATAGTGATCAACTATCATTATGATTGTCTAAAATTCTTATTGCATTTCATATCACAAGTTTTATTTACATTTTTGGCTTAGATACCTTAAAATTCTATAAACTTAGAATAAAATCTAGATATATGGTATAAAGTCTATAGTCTCAACAAGGCAGGCAGATAAACACCAATGTCATTTTTGGGGTGATCGTGCAAAAGATGGCTGAACAGTAGATAAAACAGAGGTCCTCCTCCATTTTAGCACAGACCTCTATAATTTGAAGAGCAATGTGAAGAAGAAATTCGTGATCGATCACATAATCCAATCAACATACAAGAAGGAAGCAGTACAGAAAATCACCTTTGTGGTTCCAGTAGAATTGATGTAAAGATATATTGGCTTTTCTTCATCCTCATATTGAAGATATAAAAATTCTGCAAGTATTAGCTCAGTCACAGAGGGTACAAGAGACATGCCTAAATAAACTATGCGGTTCTTGTACAAGTAAGAAGCCAAATCTGGTGGTGGCTGCTCCCAAGCACTTCCTCTAGAAAAAGGTATGACCTGTTATTTGTCAAAATACATTATGCAACTACAGCAAACCATTCAGAAAATATTCTTTTGTATAAAGGATATATATATTAAAACCTGATTCAACTTATAACAACAACAATAATAACAAAACCTTAGTCCCGAAATGATTTGGGGTCGGTAACATGAATCGTTATAAGAAACTGTTCGCAAAGAAAATAGAGCATAGAAAGATAATGACCTTTCGTGACACATATCTTAATTAATTAGGGGTGATATGCACTTCTTGGACTTTCTTGACACAAAGCACTATATCCACACTGGTAAGTGAGGAAAGAAGTCAATGACGCCGAGAAGATACCACAAATTTGAATAGCAAAAGAAATGAACAAGCAAAAAGGTTTTTCCAGTCCATTATTAAACTCAAAAGGTTAAAACATATTTCCAAGGATGACAGGACGAACCGATGAAGAAACGTGTCGTGTTAATAGTTCGTAACAAAGGTAGCAAAAGAAAAATAAAATAATAACTATATGTAGAGCAGGGCCAGCTGACACAGGGATGCACAGACAGGCTAGTCCACAGCATTCTCATGTCTTGCGGCATGCTGATTTTCAGAAATGTAGCACAGCTGCACAGGCATAGCCCACCAGGAATCGCTCAGGCAGGACCAAGCCACATGCACAGCCCACTTCCAACCAACTTAGAAGCAAAGGAAAAGTCAAATAGATCTTCACACACACACACACACAAGAAAGAAAAAAAAAAAGGGGGGGGGGGTCTATGTACCCAGTGAAGTCCCCTTAATAAATTTTAAGAGAGAGATACCAGTTGTCACAAGCAACATGAGAAAGAAAAGAACTGCTCTCAGAATTCACAATATATGCATGCCCCTTCTTTCATCTCCATAAAGCAGCCATAGTGTGTGATGTTTATTCAGAATTTTCAATCCAAGCAGAGGCTATTTCAGCCTTACCAAACTAAGCATAGAGGTATTATAATATGCTCCCATAAACAAACCCGTCTACTTCATTCTTGCATATCATAAATCAATACTTGTTCTGTTTTAGCTAAGTCTACTAATAAGAAATTATCCGAAACAAGTCAAGGGTCCTAGTATACAACCTCTAAGAAATGCGAAGGTAGTACTCAAGATGAAACAGATAAAGAGGTTTGCTAATACAAAGAAGACCCCCGGAAGAGCCCGGGTTGGTGGATCGACATTTCTTTCTAATGGTTTGGGTATTCCGAAACTATTTAGCTAGTGATTTAAATCATTTTACTATAAGGGCATCCTTTAAAAGTTCAATATTAGTTGTTCATCCACTATCACTTTACCACTCACATTTGTAAAACTATAAGTCGATTCACCAACTTATAGCTCGCTCCGTATAATTGCCAGTTTTCTGTTAGAATTTCGACACTCGTAACTGTTCCAAAAACATAGAATCAATCACCACAATTACATTGAAACCCAATAAACTAAAGGATGATCAATTCAGCCAGTCTCCTAATTGCTCTGAATCAATTTCTCCAAATATACATCATCTCTTAAGATCAAATTGCGCATACATTTTACCATTACTACAGCTACACCCTAAATTTCAGCTTTCCTAATCAAAACATTAACAATCTGAACAATAATCAAATTGCAATCACACAACCTCCCAAAATAACTAAAATAAACAACTCAAAAACGCAATTACAAATCAAATTATATAGAAATCCTAAAATTATCAGACATGGAAATAAAGAAACGAGCAAGAAAGTTGAAAATGATACCATGGTAACAACGCCGCGCTTAGGACGAGAGTTCGACGACGTAAGAGAATGAGGTCGTCGGAGTTTATGGCCGGTAAATTCACCGGAAACGCTACCGCCGACGAAAGGAGAGATAAAATTGGAGGAAAGAGAAGCTCTGAGAGAAGAAGCGCGAAATGAGGCGGTGGTGGTGGGAGTTGGTTTAGAGTGAAGTGGGGGAGAAGGTGAGCATAATCGGGTGGTAAGGAAAGAATGGGAAGACGCCATTGATGCTGCCATTGAGCTTGAGCTTGAGCTTGAGCTTGAGTAGAGGAGAGAGAATTGCGAGGAAGAAGAAGAGAAGATAGAGATTAGAGAGAGAGAAAGAGGAGAGAGAAAGTGAAAGAGGAAGAAGCCATTGTTAAAAGATCCGACCCATTTTAGGGAGGTTAAAGGCTAAAGATAAACCGTTTTTTTTGTAATGAATTGTTTTGGTTTTTGTGGTTTGGGCTTATTTTTTGATGGTTTAGGCCTTGTTTATTGGGCTTTGTACAAATTTAACAAAATTGGACTTATAATGTTTTTTTAAAAACATATTAAAGTTATGATTTTGTGTTGCATTCTCTTCACTTTTACTCGAGTTTCTGATATATGTTTGGAAAATCTCTAAAGATTGCTTGATTTGTGTACAACTTTCTCTGTTCTTTTTTACTTGACCTATTTCTTTTATCACGCTTGTCAATGCAAAAATTCAACGATTAATAACTTTAATTCTCCATAAGTAAAAATTATAAAAGTTATATATTATGATAGTATTTCTTGAGACGAATTTAAAAATATCCAACATGAACATGTTTTTCCTTACAAATTATTCACAAAATACGATCAAAGGAGGAGTGGTGAATAGTATAAAAATCAAAGCGAGTCAAGTAAAAAAGAACGGAGAAAGTATATCTGTTGATATAGCCTTCAAAGAACATTGACCTATTTGCGGGGTAAAAGCATCAAATTTATCCTTGATCCTTAACTTTACATTCCTCGTAATTATCTGTTAAATTGTCTATCTATCCTTGCCATACATCCATGTCATGTTAGGCTCATGCTCATGCCTTGTCTCTATGAAAATCGAAATACCCTTAATATAAAAATCGAGACAATGTGCTACCTTGTATGAGTGTATGACCAAACACACTTTGTGCTTTTTAAGACAAGGTGTTTTTAGCGTCCTTGTTTTGTGCTTTGGGTCATGCCTTATAACAACTAACAAGCAATTTATATAAGCTGGGGTGATTATTATTAAGATACATAAGTTCCACTATATATGTACGTAATTCCGTGTTAGTGAGTCCACAAATATAGCTAGGTCCACTGTTTTTAAGTATACCTTGACTAGTTGGTAGGTATTTCTTATTTCTCACATTGTATAAACTTTTAGTGGATGGTTGTTAGATATTATAAACTAAATATTGAATTGAAACCTTTAATCTATAAACTGAACAATAATTCAACAATTTATATTAATACGTATACCCATCAACATTAACACACTATTTATGAATCTATGATAGCATAATGCCCATCACATCTTCATAAAAACTGATATATATCAATTGGCTTAGTTCAAATGCAACCTATATTATGATGCACGCTTAAGATAAGCTCTCCTTAATACAATATTCATATATAATCTCACCAAACCGATACCTATGGAATAATGGAATACATGTTTATGGTAAAAATGTCACTCCCTCTATCCTATATTTAGTTGTCACGTTGCTAGTTCATCATTAACATGATCATTTGGATAGAAATTAAAAGTATTATTGGTTGCAATCGTCCTGGTGTTTTGCTTTTATGTGAACCCGGGTTATTTTACACTATTGTAGGCGGAGAGGTAAAAAGGCGTCTTTAGTGCTGCTTGTACGACTTAGCTCCAATCGAACGAAGATTCTCTTCAATTTTAGCATCCCTTTGCTCCAAAGGACATTGCAATAAAATGTCAAGGGCAGTGAAGTTTTTGCCATTCAAGGTGTTAACATCTACTTGTAGAGTTCCAGCTGAATTGGTGCAAGTGTTCAACAATGCTTCAACCATCTACAATATTGGACATGTTTTTCCTTACAAATAGTTAATTAGTACTTTAAGAGCTTTCTGACTAAAATATTGGATCATAAAAGCTAGGATCATAAATTATATAGCAGTCTGTACTCTTTATTGTCTTTAGTAAGTACGTGATATAAATAATTGTTAAAAAGAAATTGAGAGATAAATAAAGCCAAAGTGATTAGGTTGCCAAGAAAGAATCTCAAAAAAAAAAATTATGTAGCATTCAGTTTTTAAGTGACAAATTAATTAGAAGTAGTCATGTCTACTTCAAAATCATTACAGGTATAGACTAATAGGACCTCAGTTTATATTATTACTCATTACAGGTACTATATATGTTACTCAGACTCTTTATTTTACCTTAAATACTCGTGTCAGACCTTCACCACTTGGAAATGAAAAGGGCACGCACTTACTTACTTAGATATACACTTGGATACATACCCGTGTCAGACATGCGGATCAGCAAGTAACATAGGCTAGGTATACCTAAAACATTAATTAACCAAGTTTTTTTTTTTTTCTTTTTTTTTTTGGACAGGAGGTAATTAACCTAGCAGTCCTAGCTTAATTCACAAAGATGAAATCAAAAACTTTACCTGTTGCTGTTTCATCATGATAGCCAAATGCAATATAGTGTTGCCTTCATCATCCTTACAATTCAACAAATCACTAGTTACCTTACTCTTATCAAATGAAGAACCATAAACTGCACCCAACAATAATAATGGTACGTTCCTTTGAGATTGATTAGCCAATTTAAGCTGCTCAAGCAAAACCAAGAAAGCACCCAACTGCTTGTTCTTCACTGCTAGGTGAAGGGCTGTTTCGTTTCGTGTTGTCGTGTCCATGATGCAGCTTGGATAATACTTGACTAGAAACTTAACAACTTCAACCTTCCCTGAAATCACTGCAACATGCAGGGGAGTTCTGTTTTCTTTACCCTTAGTAAGCTCTTTTTTTGTAGGGGCTAACTTTTCTAGTAAGTTCCTAACCATCTCAACTTGACCAGTTTCTGCTGCTAAGTGGATTGGACTATACCCAAAACGATCAATTTTTGTGATGAAAGACGGTCTTAAGCTTGCGATTTCCCTAGCAAAGTAAGGCTTTCGAGCTAAGACAGCTAAGTGTAAAGGAGTCCTAGTAAATGGTACATCATCTATGAAATTAAGTATGTTTGGCTCATCATCAAGTAATGCATAAAAAGCCTCTATGTTTCCTGCTTGACATACTTGTACCAATCTCTTATCCATTTTTCTTTGGTGTGAATTTTCGTGGCTCAGATTTTTTGCTTAAGAGTTGAGGAGGTTTGAGGAATTAGTAAAGATCTAGAGCTTGTTATATAGAACTACTAAGGTTGAATTTTTTTGAAGCATGATGAGTTTTTCATGCAGAAGTAATGGTTGCTTGTTTATAGTCCTCCTTTTAAGTTCACAAGAAGTCAATGAGTAAATGTAACAAGAAAAGTGGGCGATATTACAGCCTAATAATATTCTTGCACATCAGTTACACTTGTTCCTTGTTTCAATCCTTTAACATCATAGTAGATTAGTGAATAATATTAATATATGTAAGTGATTATAAATGTCAAGTAAACAAGTTTCTTAAGATAATAGGTATAATTGAAGTATGCATGTAGCATATCTTATAGATAAGTAATTTGATTTCGACTATATTCATGTTTGACAAAGAGAGTTTCTCACAACTTACCTACCAATATAGCTTGTTTGATTAGATTAGATTACATGGAGTAACATGATTTGGATATTGGTAGACAATCTTCTCGAGAACATTCAAGTCCGTAATGTCAAATACTACTTTTCTAAATAAAAATTTAAAACGCACTTATAATTCTTATTATTGAAATACTCTACAATTTGTAGATTGTACGCTTGTATTATACTTCATCTATTCCTTATATTTTTGTATCACTTGACCCAAAAAGTGGCTTTATGGTGCGGGGGTGAAGCTGCAAAATTAAAGAAACAATTAATGTCACTTATTGGATTAAGCAACAAATCAAATCGTGAAAAATTTGCATGTTTTAATGATCGATGGATATATATTATGTAATTGTAACCAATTTTTATTCAAAATATTGTGAGCTTTTCTTCCATTTATATTCAAATATTTGTGAAAACATTATTACTACAATCTTATTCTTCAACAATATCGATTACATACTATAACTTTATAACTTATAAGCTCTTATGAAGTTATGAGTTTGTACATCTTTTAGCCTCAAATTCACGAGATCAAAATCAATATGAACTCTTTGTACTGTAATCGTTATTGATTGAACAGGCCTATCAAAAAAATACTCCGTACAACATAATTGCATATACATACTTTAATAACACAGAGTAGATAAACTTAATGTGCTATAAATAACAAACCAATTAAAATGAGCCAATAAGGCACTAACTAAGTAAGCTCCTTAATTAAATCTGACTAAGAACTCTTTAGGGATGAGCATTCCCCCTATCCTTCTCTCTATCCCTTAATAAGTTTGACCTACAAACTGGATTGAACTAAACCATAAGATACACATATGGCTTAGGGTCCTTCTCTTATTCATAATAAATAAATAAAAATAAATGCTTTGTTAGTTTTTTTAGATCTATCACTTTTATTGTACTTCGTTTTTATTAACTTGCTCCACTTTCTTTTTGCGACTGTTTTTAATACTGCTCTATTTCCTTATTTGGAAAGCTTTCACAATATTTAATTCATTTCTCTCAACTAGTGAGACCCAATTTTATAACTTTTAATTTCTATCTCCTCCAATTTACCTTCCACTAACCTCAATACCTCTATATTTTATTATTATCTCCAATTTCTCCTAAAACTCCGCGGATGAAGAAATGAAGCAAGTTTTAAAAACGAAGGGAGTAATTGCAAATCTTAGGCAACTTTTGGAGTAGAGACGAGAGAGAAAAGGCTGAGCAATAGAGAGAATTTATTGACTAAAAGAGAAACACACATTTTCATAATATTTTTTTTTTTTGAGAAAATAACAAATGGACCCCACTCGTCGAAATTAGTTTCTACAGAATGAGAAAGGACAATACTGCCCAAACCTTTTAAATTTAAAGGGGAGTTTTTTTTTTTATAAAACTTTTTAGCGAGTACTGTAATTTTTTTAATGAATAGTTGTTCACAAATTGACCCGTCAACCGTTATTAACAATTTATCTTAAAATCCATTGGCTTTAGAAAAACTATTTGTACTAGTAGTAGCTAGATGACAAACAAGTTAACCAAAGGATTGAAGGTGAGCCCCTAAAACCAAAAAGTGATTTGTTTTTCTCTGAAACCCACCATGAATTCTTCTCAATGAACCCATACTCCCACCATCTTCAAACTACAACACTCTCATCTTCATCTTCTTCCTCTTTAAAATTATCATTCAATCCTAAAGAATAATGAAAATGGCCTTACTATCTTCATCTTCAACTCCCACTCTCTCTCCTATTCCTTCTTCAAAACCCCACCATAATCTCAATCTTACCCACAAACCTTATCTTCTTCCTCTACCCAGAAAAACCAACCTCTCAATTTCTCCAATTAGAGTTTCTGCTTCTGATAATGGAGCTGGGGTTGTAGCTTCTTCTGCTGTTGTTACTAAAGAGAAGGTTCTAGAAACCCCATCTGAGGTAAAAGGAACTGGGTCTGATTCTGTAGATTCAACCCCTAAAAAATTGGAGAAAAATGCAGAAGATGTTACAGAAGTTAAAGCTTCTGAAGAGGTTGTGAAGAAATTTGTGGACCCCAGATGGATTAATGGGAGTTGGGATTTGAAGCAGTTTCAGAAAGATGGAATTACTACAGATTGGGATGCTGTTATTGATGCTGGTATATGCTCTAAAATTTGAATTTTTATACTTTTTTTTTTTTTTGTGAAGAACTAATTTCAGTTTTTGTTGGTTCATTGGTGATTTATGCTTGATTGTGTCTCTAACATTGATCAGTTTTTGCTAAATTTAATGGAATACTAAGTAGGTTCTTTAAATTTTCATTTCTTGATTGAGATTTTAAGGGGTTTAGGTAGATTTTTGTACTGTTTGTAGCATGTACATTTACCATAAATTTAAGTTTTTGTCATTGGAGTTTAGCCATGGAACCAAATTGCTGCATTGATTCTATCGCAGTAGTTTTGCATGTTTAGCATATTATGGTAATTATTGTTTTATTCTGCCAGTTTGCCATTGCATTGAAATCAGTAGTTACCTGCTGGTGAGCTTGCTTTTAGACATGAGATGCTATAGGTGATCTTTGAGGGTGTTGATTATTTTAGTTTCAATTGGAGATAAAAAAATTAAAGCTAGATTTGTTAGATTGAAAAGGGTGAAAATGCATTGCTCTCAACTTCTCATTATACTTGGTTATTAGATGTAATTTTAGAATGAAAGTAGGATGTTAAAGTTGGTTATATGCAAGTCATTTGTTATGGAAGATGATTTCATCTAAGGTTCGATGGTAAAAAGTTTTCGAAAGTGTTACCTTTTTCTATCGAGCTTTTCTAATCGGTGCTTGAAGGTAAGAGGTTTCGTGTGTTATGATCACATCCATAGTGACAAATTCATGGTCTGGCTTGTCCTTTTTTGCTCTCTGTGAGCTATTTGTTTTTGACAGTCTGCATTTTGCAATTTGTGTTTTAGTTTTAACGATTTTTGGTCATCTAATTCATCTCTCACAGAAAAAGTATAGTTTGTTCTAATATCCTCTTGATTAGAATGATTATGCTGTTGTGATCTTTGGAACTGTATTTTCCTTTGGCATTAACTGAGACATCAACTATCTTCTTAATTTTGTCATGATTTGTAATCAATTGGGTCCTCTTGATGATTTGCAGAGGCGAGGAGGAGGAAGTGGCTCCAAACCTACCCAGAATCAACCACTAATGATGAACCTGTTATTTTCGACACCTCAATCATTCCATGGTGGGCATGGATTAAAAGATTCCACCTTCCTGAAGCCGAGCTTCTTAATGGTTTGTTTCCACACATAATGCACACATATTGTTCCTTACTTTTATCGTTCAACTAACTGATTTCTTTTTCCTTTTGGGTTTGGCAGGCCGTGCTGCTATGATTGGTTTCTTCATGGCTTATTTTGTTGATAGCTTGACTGGTGTAGGTCTCGTTGATCAAATGGGTAACTTCTTCTGTAAAACCTTGTTATTTGTTGCTGTTCTTGGTGTGCTGTTCGTTCGTAAGAACGAAGATCTAGATAACTTAAAGAAGCTACTAGAAGAGACGACTTTGTATGACAAGCAATGGCAAGCGACATGGCAAGATGAGAGCAATACTACTTCCAAGAAAGATTAGCCCATCTAGTTTATAAGATTTTTAATCTGAATATGGTTTTGTTTGTATGTTAAGGATAGGCTTCATCCAATATTGTATTCAGAAAGACTTGGTTAGCACCTTATTAATACTTGTATCATTCTGTGCTGAATTTAGGAGCATTCAGTTTATTCTGCAAGAGGGAATGACAAAATGGTTTGCCAATTGCCACTAATGATTCAAACTGATGTTTATCTGTCATTTGATCTAAATACTAAAGAAAAATATTACTCTCAAGTATTTTAGAGGATCAATCCAGAGATTGTCATCATTCTTGAAAAAACAAACATGATTTAAATTTTTAAAAATTATAAATTATCACCTTTTAAACACCAAAATTTGATTATACCATCTGTTTTTTTTATTTTAATTTTTTTTAAATTAAAACCCTACAATCAAGAAAATTTATATTTCATTAACTCTTAACTAAAAGTTATCGATTTTTGTGCCAAAATTTGGTCTAAAGGTTTTGAGGATCACTTTGGCCCTATAAATCCTATTTGAGGTCAAAACACCTAAAAAGATATTAAAAAATACATCATTTAACCTGAAATTAAACCCAAAGGCCCCAAAACCTTAACCAATTTTTGCATGAAAATCTTTTTTTTTTTTATTATTATTAAAAAAAAAGAAACTAAATGTTTAGAAGTGGTGAAATCAAACATTTAGCATTTTAAAGGGTGGTCATTAAAAAAAACACACACACACAAAAAAGGAAAGAAATTGGTAAAATCAAAATTTGGTGTTGAGGATGGTTATTTACAATTTTTAGTTTAATTGAATAATTAAAAATAAATAAAAAAAAGGAAAAATGAAAAATCACTTAAATCAATCTTTCCCCAAAACAAAATTAAGAAAAAACAAAAACAAAGAGACTTCTGAATGTTGCATAAGAATTACTTATATCATAAGAATTGCAAAGACGGTAGCTGGTGCACCCAAATGTAATGATTATGTAATGTTAGATCACGTTCTTCTTGTTCAAAAAGAAAAATGTCATTTGCTAACTTCTTTTATCTTTCTCCAGAAATATGTATACAAGAATTTTAAGATACAGGATCGAGCACCAAGCCACCAAGTGGGCTTTAACCAATGATCAGCTAAAAAAAAATTACTCGTATAAAATTTTAAGAGCAACCAAAATACCAATCTTTGGGACAAAATAAAATTCTCTATATGATTGAAAGAAATACTAAGAGCCTAGTTTTCTGATTCTAGTTCTATGATTATATAAATCGCGTAAATAATGAGCTAATGACGAGGACTTTAAGAATTAAGACCCGTTACCAAGTACACTGCTTACAAGCACGGTGATTGGAACTCGAGCTAGATGGCCTTTGTCTCCACGCAGTAACATCTCACCAAAGCTGTAGTTATTAGTTGAATCTGTTGCTTCGAGCACGATCTTGAGCTGCCGTGTAGCATTGTGACTAACAGTAAAGCTTTTTGGCGAAACCTTGACTCTCACACCCATTGGTGGCCTCACAGTGACAGTGTAGGTCTCAGATTCTTCCCCAACATTTGATACCACCCTGACTACTTTCCTTGAACCCACTAAATTTGAGATTGTTATAGTAGGGGTATTCAGATCCGAGCACCAACCTCCTTTCTTAGGTGGGCACCCAACACCAACTGCCCGCCTCACAGACTCATCATCAACCCCTGGCACAGCACAAAGAAACTGTACGTAATTCTTAAATTTGGCAATGAATACAATCCCAGGGTCAACAGCACGAGTAGGGTTGATGGATCCAGCTCCATAATCAAAAGGAGTGCCTGGTGCTATCTGGTTGGTCTTTTGTGCCATGATGGGATTGCCAGCTTTATCTGATATATCTGTTGTTGTCATCATTGCTGATATTATAGCAGATGGCTTCCAGTTAGGGTGTCTGTGCTTGATTAATGCAGCAATACCAGCTACATGAGGAGTGGCCATGCTTGTACCTGATACAAGTGCAAAATTTTGCCCTGGTTTCAAAAAACAACCACAACATGAGAATAGAAAATGAAAAGGTTGATAATCACATACTAGTTCTACACCGGTCCACTGATAAACAAAAAACGAAAAGGTTGATAATTTACATAAGAATAGAAAGTTAACTACAGGAAAAGTACCTTTTGCATAATGATCTCCCTCACTGTCTGGACTCCAGGCAGCCCAGATAGAAGAACCTGGAGCCATTATAGTTGGTTTCAGAACATCGGCAGTTTGTAGAAGTGCGTTGTTCACATCAGGTCCTCTTGATGAGTAGGAAGCGACAATTGGTGCTTGCCCAGTGTATATTGCCTGTCTACCATCCAAAATTCTGGCTGTTGCACCGAAAGCAAGCACTCTGCCTGTTCTACCTCTATATGTCCTCGAGTTGTAAAACTGCCAAAGGGCCTGCAATCAAATTTGAACACAAAAAGATTCACATACACTGCATACTAGGTTGCACAGTTTAACAAGTCATAGAAGCTCTCTTTCAGAAATGTGTACAAAAGATAATCAATTCATCCTGAAGTCCAATGCAATCCAAATATAGAGAAGAATTTATGACAGTTAACCATACCGTAGAAGCTTGTAAGTTGTTTAGGACAATTCCAGGCACTCCAAGAGTAACTGTGGTTCCCTTGATTTCCTCAGAACCAACATCAGGGTCCATTGTCATTATAAATCCAGCAGCCCCGGCAGTACGAATTGTTTCAGCTACTCTAATTATACTTGCGGAGTCAAATTCAAAATCAAAAGTATATGTGCAAATAACAAGTTTCCCGCGAACCAGAGATGGGATAAAAGCATCAGGAGTTTGGCAGCTTTCGAGGAGACCAATGCTAGCATTGTGGCGACTGACATCAGCTGCAGAAGCAATGGGAAAAAGAGCTTCTCCTGGTGTTGGAGCTGTAAAATATATAAGCTTCTTAGAAAATTATAGAAAGAGAAATGAAGTCTAGCTAAATCAAAAGAAAAATAGTAGATGGCATGAATTTGCGAGTCTTATTTACGTGCAAGGCCCATTCCAGATAAGCTGTGTCCGTTACCCAACACGATGGAGGAGTTGTATTTGCGATCAATGATGGAGGCAGCAACAGTCGTAATCCATGGGCTAAAAGATAAAATTGAACTAGAAGAAGGACCACCATTACCAGCAGCTTGAACTACAACTACACCAGCTTTTGTAGCAAACAATAGTTCCATTTCTAGAACATTAAGGAAGGCAGAAGGCCCAGGTGGAACACTAGAAGGTCCAACGGAGAGGCTTAGTACATCGACTCCATCTTCCACAGCCTAGGCAGGAAACAAGATCAACTAAACGAACACATAGACAGAAGCATATATAGCATCAAATTTAAATATAAAAAAATACCAAACCTGATCAACAGCTGCTACAACATCTGACATATAGCCTCCAAATGTATAAAGAGCCTTGTAGACAGCAATGCTAACCAAAATAAGGATAATGCATTAGCAATTGAATCAGTGGATTTATCCTCACATACAAGAAAATTTCTCAACTGATAGGGTTTTTTTTTTTTTTTTTTTTTTTCTCTCTCCTTCCTGTAACAGATAAATAGGTCGGTAAGTTATCTTATCATGTTCGAATGCCTCACCTAGCTCCTGGAGCCATGCCACTCGCATTCCCATAGTTGAAGCCATTGACAATAACCGGTGTTTCATAGTTACCAGCAGCTGTTGATGCTGTATGGCTATCAGATATAGATAGTCAGCAAAATAACAGAATTAAATTCAGATGAATTACCAAGTATATTATGGACCAACTGTCATTAAAGCACTTGTTATGATGCAAGTTTATGATGATCTAAGGCCCAAATTAATGCTAAATTACCACTCAAGCTCTAAAGATACTGGCATGTTCATGTTATGTGACTTGCCTTCCATGACCATCAGCATCATAAGGGGAGGCATAATCACGTGTAGCATTAAAGTCACCAGCGGCAATGGCAGCACGTGCAAAATACTGTGCCCCGACTATCTTGCCGTTGCAAGCAGTAAAGGGAAACCTCTCACCAGAGGAACATTTCCCTTTAAACCTGGTACTATAATCATCCATAGAACCCTTAGTTCTCAATGACGGTAAATTAGAAAAACTTGGGTGGTTAGGATTAATTCCAGTGTCAATCAAGCCAATCACCATGCCTTCACCAGAACTCCTCGCACCACCTAAAGATGGCCAAACACCAGTAGGAATTCCTAGATAATCAGGTGTATGAGTGGTAAGCTTCTCCATCTTCATATCTTCATGAATAGCCCTTACTCCTGTTGCATTACGAAGAGATTCAACAGCCTGCAAGTGTAAAAAATTGACAGCTTATAGAACAATAGACAGTCAGAGACTCAGAGGTGCATGGACGAATAATTGAGGCAACATTAGCAGTTCATAATCAGGAGTTCAGAAAATTTCCCTAAAATGAATTTACCTTTTTGGATGTGACATGGATGGCAAATCCATTGAGCAAATGACTGTAGCTGTAGAGCTTGGTGTATGAACCAGAATCCAGCAGGGTCTCCAATAAAACATCATGCTGTTTATCTATCATTTCTTTGTGTACTTTAATGTCATCGTAATTCCTGCAAAGAAGTGCACAAGTTCCGTGAAAAGAACACAGGGAAAACTAAAAGAATGAATAGGTATTTGCAGCATGATATTAGGGAAAAGGCGCAATAAAATACAAAGTTTATTGTTACCTGGAGCTGCCCTGGTAACTAGTCCTCGAGACGAAGGAATCACCCTCCATGAGAACCATGAAGACTTCAGCATGCACAATGAAGTGATTTAACATGTGACTACAACTAATTAGAAAGAATACAGCTAGACTTAGTCGCATTTCCATATCTACAAGTAATGGCAAATAGCAGCGCATAATGTATGTTAAAAAGATGGTACTTTTCATCAAAGTTCAAAGAGAGAGCATTCCACCAAAAGTATTAATAGGGTGAAATCCACTAAAGACCAATCACTGCACCAGTGTTTTATAGTTGGATCAGGTGGAGAAAATGCCTTCTTGATCAGTCTCATTAATTAGGTAAGCAGGGAAGATTCACATGCTTGCATGCAACTAAATCATCTATTTCTGATGCAAGTAGTTAAATTTATTAGCACCATCCATGCATTCCTCATTCCTCACCCACCTCCTCTCTTCCCCTTACTGCGCTCTTCTATACACCCAAGAGCAAGATCTTACAAAAATAGAGGCAAACAAATTAAGGGATGCTATGCAGCCCATCTCAAAGAGCTGTTGAAGAGCAACTGTAATATACTTAAATAATCCCACCCACAGTCCCACACCTTCCTCATTTCTTAACCACTATCCTCCTGCCTAAAAATTGTCATATTGTGGTACACAAAAGTGAACCCTGTAAATTAATAACTGATTTAAGGAACTCAGATGCCCTTCTTACAAAAATAAGAAAAGTGCCAGTGATATCATCAAGAATGCATAAATAAAGCATAGTCAAATACATTCCACACCAGAAACAGCAATCTGAGTTCAAATGACCAATCATGCTGGGACGTCACTGAAAACCTTCCGGTATTGGATGACAAGATAATGTGAAAAGTCATAAAAAGATGAAAAGGGGGAACAGCGATAACAAAAGAATGATTCAGTCTATACTATTTCATTGTCATAAGACTCATATCATTTGACCTGAATACTAACAATGTCACATGACATTGGAGCAAATCTTAAGACCCTTTGACTACGATATATTTATATCAAAAAGAAAGTAAAACTACCAAGGAGTGGCCTGAAGGGATATAACCTTCGTAAGATGTTCTACAAAAAAAATATCTATAATTGAAGCATTACAGACTACAGAGAACACGATTCATAAAATTTAACAACATGAAGATGAATATGCAGCAATCTTGAATTAAATTTCAGTAGATGCAGAATGACAGATTTATCTAGATCTCTGCTGACGAGTATATTCCCAGATAGCAATGGCGCCACTAACATGAACATTGAGGGACCTAACTACCCCTAACTGTGGGATTTCAATGCAAGTATCCAAAACATGGATTATATCAGCAGGTATACCCTCCTTTTCACGGCCAAGAACAAGGACCTGAAAGGGAAATAAACAAGTACACATCATTTCAAAACAACTAATGTGATAATCATAAAGCGAATACAAATGGGGTACAGATCGTGTAAATGTCCATTGAGTTCACATTGACTTGGCAAAGAGGTACGGGTCGTGTTAATTTTGTGTAGGTCATTTTGGGTCTGCTAACATTTGGGTCGGGGTCGGGTCGTGTCAATTCGGGTCATGTATCGAGCCGATTTCATGTCATGCCAATTTCAGGTTGAGTATGTTCGGGCTGGGTAAATTTCGAGTCAAGTACGTTCGGGTCGGGTCATGTTCGGATCATTCATTTAGTGTTGATATTGTAGATCAAGCTCAAATCGATAATTTTATTTGGTTTGCGAGTTCAGTTACGATTGGAGATGAAACAGTTTGAGTCATTTATGACACTAGGCCTTTTTAGTTTGGGTATTAGGTAATTTTAGTTTGGGACATTTTGGGTATCGAGTCTATTTAGGTCAAGCAATTCGGTTAAAATCAGATCGAGTCAACTTTAGGTTGGGTCATTTTAGGTATTGAGTCAACTTCTAATCAGGTATAATTGGGTCGGGCCATTTTGGGTATCGGGTCAACTCCACTTTCGGGTAAGGTACGGGTCAGTGTCGGGTCACATGTCAGGTTAGGATTGCCAAATCTTTCACATTCTGATTAGTTGCACAATAAGTAAGCACTGAAATCTTCACATAACTCTAGATAATGTACAGCAAATTCCTGACATACATAACAGTAACTAACCGTTCGTTGGGGGAAGTTGTACTTGTCCAGGGGTATGCTATTTGCAGTTTGTTCCAATCCCAAAACTGCAAAACCCTCTCGCTTTTTTTTCTCCAGAAAGTTTTTGACACTATTCACTGGGACCTCTATGATGGGAACCCACTTCTCTGCCGTGACACTGGCAATGTAACATATATTAATTAAAATAATAATTAATTACATGCCAGAAAGCTATCAATCATAACACGAGGAAAGCTTTAAGGATTAAAAAAAAAATGCAAGATCTCTGTAAAAAGTTTCAACAAAAAAAAAAAAAACAAATTAATTAATAAATAAAACACTAATATATTAAAAATATTTCCAACAGTCACTCTCAAATTTGGGAAGCTTATGTTCTAAGCCAACCCTTTCTCATGGAAGAACTCGATTGCTCATCAATCCATGACATTTGCTCACAATTTGTTTCCCAAACAGGATTTAGTGGGTTTACTCACAATTCCTCTCCCTAGTCCCTAGGGTCATGGAGCAAATCTACAGAGAAAGAGAAGAAGAAGTGGCAGGTAGTTTCTCACCATTGGGGAATACAAACACACACATTAGGCTACAGGAATAAATTGGGTCTTTGAACTTGCAGTATATTAGTACAGGGTTTCTCAAGAAGCTATAGACGTACCATACTTTAGAATACAAAGAGGATTAGCAAACTCATCCAGCACCCCTCTCACTTGTCCATGGACGCAGCTAACTCATTGTTAGTGAACCATGTTAAATATGTGTTCTTATTATCTTTATTCTCTTTTGCTGAAACACCTACGAGAATTTCAGTTTGTAGTGATAAAAAACTTGTTCTCTTTAAAACCAAATAAGAAAGCAAGGGGGATTAAATTTCCATCAGAAATCAGGGGAAAGGAAAAAGAAAAAAAAAACCAACTTGCAATACATTAGAAAGGGACACGCCAGGAAACACCCCATGACAGTGAGTCCGTAGTGAAGCTAAATACACCACTCCATCCCATAATTAACCAAAGAAATTTCCTGACCATGGAACATCCTATAAGTATAACTGCTCTCCAGAAATCGGATTTACATAATGGCGAAAATCTCCACTATATATTAATGTTTATAGACGATCTTCACTAACATTTGTTTCATACATCATTCCATAGAGGTTTTTCTAATTCTGAGTGATAGATAATTAAGTTAAATACAAATTGGAGGAGATGTCAAACAGAAGAAAGAGAGTTCTTAATCAAACCTTATCATCTGGAACTGTTTGTCTTGTAGCACATTAGCATCTGCTATTGCCAAACTACTTGCTTTGAATACCTGCTAGACGCAAAATCGAACCCATTGATATACGATGAACAAGCATTATTAGCATACGTGAAGCTCAAGAGGGTATACGAAGAAAGGATAAGAAGCACAAAATGAAGAAAATAGAAAGAATAATAAATGCCAAAAAGTAATTCTAAAGTCAACACACCTCACAAGTTCTTGCCAACCCAGCAAGGTTTGGTATACGATCAATGAGAGATGCAACAAGAATGATTTGCTGTCGGTTTGCCTTGACCTTTTCCATAGATATGGTTCTTGACTGCAATATTTGCTCAAGAAGTTGGTCCTCCTTTTCCAATTCTGCTCAGTAAAGACAGAGTTCAGGGGGGGGAAATGTTACGATAATCCATTGACATCAGCAAGAGAACTAGTATTTTTTGCATGTTAATAAAAGTTGGTTACAATTGTGAAAATTATATATAGAAGAGGAATAAGGTGTGAGGGAGGCTTCTAGCTTTTTATGTAACACTATTTTGTGGAATGGAGAACAACGTTAAAGGCATGCAGAGGGAATTGAAGCACCAAAGAAACAAACTTAAAGGAATCAGAGAATTTGTTGCCCTCCACCATAATTACGGTGCAGATCATGCTAAACACTTGCTCCAAGTTAAGTTAATTATTTAAAGATAGAAAGGAGATGGTCCTCCCTTTTGCGCTCATTTCTCCCTCCATCCAGCCCTAAGGCATTAATTTCTTGAAGGATTAAAAAATAGAGGACATGTGGAGGTCAGCTCCCTAGAAGTAGGAGGGAACCAAACTTCAGACAAGATTTCATCAAGAAAAAGTTTGCTTAATGAGACCATCTGCCTTCATACTTCGTATGTGAGTATAAGACATCACATCAGAGAAGACATAATATAAAACTTATATTGGTGTAAGGTTGCTAATGCTTTGACTCCTCCACATAATCCAACTTAACAGAAACTATGGCACTGGGTAATACTTTATGAGTTCTTTTTTTCATAGTCTCAGTTTTAACATGAATATTGAACACTATGCCAAAGAAATCAATAATCATCTTTGAATTCTTACCATCACTAAGCAAATCGTGCTTAGACAATGTGAACTTCTTCTGAAAATCCAACGGAGTATTACTTAAGGGTGAAGCAAGCAATATTTCTTGTCCTGCATTTGCTGAATGAGACATACAGCCTCGATCTTCTGCGATCATTAAAGTCTCATTCTTGAGAGTAGATTCATCCTTGGCCATTGAATTTCTGAGTTCTTCTCTGACAGCCTAAGCATTGCAGCATGATGAGACAAGGCCAGAAAGCAGAAAGTGTCTAGAAGAGAACAACTTACATTTAAAAAGTTCATCACTCGATCTATTAGGCACATTGGAACACATTCAAAATCCATATCCTACATAATACAACAAATGAGATATCAGCAGAGAATCTTGTCCAAAACCACCAAGATACTTATCTAAGTAAACACTGCAGCTTTATAATTCTCTCTGTTCAATAAATCACCCTTAAGCATGCAGAAATTCTTATCAGAAAACACAACTTTAAGCATGCAGCCATAAAATGAATGATCTGCAAATGAAACAATACTCCCTTCATCCTATATTATAGTCCTCATTTCCATTTTTATGGTCAGATTTTAAAAACTTGACCATATGTATATAGTTTTTAATGCTAAATTAATGCTAAATTTGTCTCAATGTGTGGTATAACAAAAAAAAAAACATATATGTAAATTAATGCTAAATTTGTCTCAATGTGTGGTTTTATGAATCAATTTTTTATAGTTTTTGTTAATACGTAATTAAAAATATAAATGACTAAAGGTACTTCTTGAGGACCGTGCAAAATGAAATAGACTATATTATGAAATGGAAGGGAGTAGATACTATTAACATGTTAGGGCTTTCAGTAAAGTAATATGAAGATCTGTCTTAAATGTAGTCGCACCAATGGTTCTTTTTCTATTTATTTTCTTCATTCCCCTTATTTTCTGCCACAGTTGATGTTGAGTGATATTAGTTTTATGAGAAATGAGGGTGTGTTCCTATTGTGGTGTGGAAGAAACCCAAGTGCCAATACAAAATCCTCTCTTTTGTTCCAAACAATTATCTTCTCATATCAATCCAACAATAAGTAATAAAGAACGCGGAAAGAGGCACTCATGTAGGCTTACTCAATTTGTTACTAACAGAGTATGTTGTATGATAAAGAAGGGGGAGGTTGCATGTTTTTAAGCCTAGCTATGACTAAAACAAATAAGAAATGCTGAAATAGGCTGGTTATTAATGCCAAAGGCACCTAATCTCCAACCCAATACTAGTGAGAAGCTTTAATTAGCCGCTTAATAACCAAACAAATTCAGTAAGGCCAAACACACCAAAAAAAATATATATATAATAATAATAATAATAATAATAATAATAATAATAATAATAATAATAATAATAAAAAATCAGCTTAAAAATTGCACTTTGAGCTCCTCCAGTACTATGAGTAGCATCACAAGGTAACATGAAGCAGAACAGGACCAATATCTTCAAGAAACTAGTAAAAAATATTGTACCACCATTGTACATCAGAGAACCAAGTGGCTTTTCCACAGAATAGTTCCCATATCCTGTCATTCCACTCTAAATATTTGAAGGATACATTATGATTGACATCAAAAAACAAGTAAAACAGAAGCAAGTGCTGGGTGCAGCTGAATGAAGTGAAAAGGTATAACTAATATTGTCCTCCCTTAATAGCGAAACATCTAACCTCAACACGGCTGGAGAAGATTCCCGCAGGAGTAGTAGATTCAATAGGATTAAAAGCGTCAAGATACCCTTCCAATGAGGCTCGCAATCTGCAAGCAACAATACTGACCATCAGAATACCCCAAAACACAAGAGATATGCTTATCAACAGAACAACTAATTATCGATGAAATATACATGAGAAAAAAAAACGACCAGCATCCCAAACTCTATACTTATAATTAACCTCAAACAAGTGATATCTATGATAAACAGGAGAATATCTTAGACTGGCAGAAAATAAGCACTTAGGGCCTGTTCTGATTTACTGAACTGAAGTGAGCTGAACTTATTGGAGTTGGGCTGAACTGAACTGTTTATGAGAGAAGGAAAATTAGGAGCTGAACTGAACTGAACTAATTGAAGCTGAACTGAAATTAAGCTGAAGAGAATAGGCCCTTAAAGGAAAGTGTCAAACACCGCTAAGATAGAAAGGTGCACAGGAAGAATTTTAAGTCACTTTTTGACAATTAATCAGGATACTACATGGCTTTGCAATTGCTTGTCATTATAAGAGAAGATAAAATAGTGAGATCCAAGCCTTTTGACGGTGCATAATGTCATAAATTTAAACCTATGAGATGTGACCCATGCTGAATAGAAAATTACAGTATCTTTATATTGAATTAATGATTCCCCCCTACTGATGTTAAACTCCAATGAAAAATTGACAATGTTATGGAAGAAAACAAGTCGAAGATATCAAATTAGTGACAGTAAAAAAAAATTAAAAATAAATAAAAAATAAAAAGGTACACAACTATAACAAGCCTCTACACAATGTGCAATTGATCAAGAAAAGATGACAAATTAAAATAAAAAATATCTAAATAAATAAATAAAAATAAAAAAAAAGTTCCTTCAACATTCAACCTCAAAGTAGCTGTGAAGATACAAAATTTCATTGATCTTGTAGAATAAAGAACGCAGTGAATGATAAGCCTCCAGCTAGATAGTCAAATAACAAACCAGGGATACAAGGACCACAAAGGGAAAAATTGATAAGCTACAATTATTGTCATTCAGATCAATACGGGTTTTGGGAAGAAGAGCAAAAATAAGCAGCATGAAGTTGCAGTTTATACCAGCCAATACATAAACTAGAAACAAGGATGTGGAACAATGTTGGAATATTCTTCAACCTCGTCAATTTATGATGAAAAATGCTCATTATGCAAAAATAATCATCTTTTTTATTTTCCTTATGGTGACACAAAGACGTACATTTTAAGACCAAAAACTGAAAAACTAGAGATAGTAGTACCTCGCACAGTCAGGATTTAATTCCAAGTATGACTTCAAACTTCTGAAGCACCTTTTCTCCAAAACAATTGATCCAGACCAGCTAGAATCTATTTCCGGCAGTAGCTTACAGAAAATTTGATATACCAGCAACTGAAAATTTAATGTTTTATGTATAAAATGACTCAGATTTTTAAGAACTTTACTGTTCACAACAAACATTTACCAGAAAGGAAAGAAGGTAAGACAAGTGCAGCACAGAAAAACCTGAGTAAAACCACGTAATGTGTGGTGGTGGGAAGTCAACAATGGAATTAAAGGTGGAAGCAATTCATCCAAATGCTTAGATTGAGCTTCTGCCTTTGCATGGATCATGACATTAGCTGCTATATATACATATGAGGACAGTGCCTGCATCCAATTTTAAAGTTTAGTTGCCTATATCAAGAATCAACTGTTATTCAATATTAAAAAAATAATAATTTAACCCAATCACTTTTCGCAGAAAAAGGAGAATAGTGAAAGAATGGATAAATAGTTAGAAATCACAACAGGATAAGATGCTTAGGAGAAAAAACAGTAAGAGCGCAGCCCCATACACAATATGATGCATTCACTCGCAATAATATGAAGACAACAAGAACCATACACAAAAGGAGGGCTAAGGTCAAACATTACCTGCCCTCAAATAGCCATAGCAATCCCGGGAATGAATTTATAGATACAACACATTATCAAATATTGCAAATCGCTAACCAAAAGCAATCACACCATACATGCAGTGCACTGCATCCAGTACAAAACAGAACTATAATGATCTTTCTAAGACATCTGATCATCAAATCGTCAACTATGCCCTCCGACTTTAATCAGTCCAATCGGTTGTGAAGCAGCCGTACAAATAAAGAATAAAGTCCTCCCCCCCCCCCCCCCCCTTATTTATTTAACTTCTTTTAACAAAATGCACACTTTTACATGTCCTTAATTACTAGCTAAATGGAATTACTAGCTAAATGGAATCATGGGTAAGTGTTGACACTGTTTACATTTACTTATCAAAAACAACAAAAACAAATAAGATATGAGACCATTCATGTGACTGTTAAAACGTTAAATTTGTAATGTTCCACAAATTTTCTTCATAACAAATTTGTTTAACAATTAAAAAGCCTTAAAAAAAAATTGATTATTAGACAAAAAAATTGATCTGCAAGAAAAAACATTATAGCCAGTATATATCAACAACATACAGAATTATACAATCAGTCATTATTAGTCATGTTGTAAGCTTAAAACGAATGAATCTCTCACTGGAAGAGAATGAAAGAGAAAAAAAGATACAAACCTGAGTCTTCATATTGTAATCACTTAATATAGGAGCTAAATGCTGCCGTACCTGTGATGTAAGTAATAAAACAGTTCAGAGATCGATATTCTTTTACTCTATCAATGACAAAGAATATTACAACAATATCCCCAGATAAAGTAGTGGACGAGCAGAGGTCCTCCTATAGAAGATTTTAAATACAACTATTAAAAAAAAATACAACTATACACAGCAAACACAATTATTGTACAATAAGCTGTAATCGCACATTAAACTGTCAAATCCATGATTCATCGCATTATAGAAGATAACACTCTGTGAAATGTTATTTTTTCCATAGAGAAAGTAATCTCATAAGTAGATTTTGCTCCAACTGCCAACAAATTTTAGACAACGAATTAAATTTTCCCTTGAAACAACCGTTGTCTACTACCTCCGTTACAGGTTAGTGCAACAATTTGACATAAAGCAGAGAGGGAAAATGTCTAATCGTTGCACATAACCTGTAACGGGGGTAGTATTTACATTTATTACAAAATGTTTATAGCATATTTTGATCACTCCCATGCTTGAATTTTGGTTTATCTTACAAAATTCATACTTCCTCCGTTTCTTTTTAATTACATCACTTTCCTAAAACGGAAGTTTCAAATTAGTTGCATCACTTTCCTTTTTAGTTAATTAACCCTCTCTATCTCTCTCCTTTCACATGGATCCATTTTTTATATTCTCTCTATCTCTATCATCTACAAAAATTGCCTATGAGTCCGCAATTTGCAAAGTGATGCAACTAAAAAAAATGGATGAAGTATTAGTGTTGTACTTCTAAATACCAAATACGACTTTGTTATTTTATTTAATCATGACGCTAGGTGATGCACAGTATTTAGGAGAGGAGATAGATAGAGTCATAGAGATATAAAGTTGTACCCAAGTGAAGAGGGGAATGGAGATAATTTTGGCTAAATAATGTTGCAATTAATATGCAACTTCCCAAAGAGAATATGTTGCGATTGAATGGAACAAAGGAAGTTCTATTTAAATTCAAACATCCACAATAAATACATCTATTCTTCCTTATCCTATGGATTTATTATCAACTAAACGATGTAAACTAAATCAACAAAAACATAGACAAAATAAAATAATCAAATAGATATAACATACCAAGAATGGAAAAGTAAGGTAAACATGTATTGCAAAAGTTTCCAAGTACTGCCGAACTGCAGGCAAGTTGTTTCTCTGCAACAAAATGTGACTATCATAAGCACTTCCAAGATTTAATAGTCAGTTTCCAACTCCACTACCCCTGTCCCCCTCCTTTTTTTTGGAAAAAAAAAAAGGAAACAGAGATGAAAGGGCAGACAGCAGTATTTATAGATTAAGCTGAAAGACCAACAGACGCATAATGTGCTCTTACAGGCGTAAGCATATCAATCTTGGATACAAGAATAATCTATATACTTCTGTCTGATTTACATCTTCAATCAGCAAGTAAAAATGAAAAATTAAAAGCTTAAATTCTAGTGGATAATATTGTGGGCCAACACAGTAAAGATGAAAGTTCTCCAGAAATTTGTGCATGGCCAGCAAAAGGCAAAACCATTGTCAAACATACAGAAATTTAATTTATGTATTCCAGATGGTCCAAGAGGTGAATGAAATGCAGCTGGGGTCGATGAGGGTTTTTTCTGGGCCAACACATTATCTTTCGTGGGCATTCTAATAAGGTGTGTGCTTTAGCTCACATTCTATATTGCATTTGGGATTTTCAAAACCAAGGAGATAATCTTTACTCCTTGACTTGTCTGACGCCTTATTCTCAGACAAGTTCATACAAATATAGTGCTGATAAGTTCTTAAAAATAAATTGCAGATGAGTCAAAAAAAGTTGAAGAGAGCACATCCTTTCCTTCCTAAAGCCCTTATTCTCTCCAATTCAATAAAAAATACAAACCTACTTCAAAACCTACTTCCTATGATTACCAGAATAGTCCTATCAGGTTATTCCTCTACAAAGACGCATTTAGGGTTCTTGGGTTGAGCTCTGCATCATATCCATACCATAGAACGAAAAAAGTCAGCTGCTTCTATCTCATTAATGGTAGACTGATTTCCAGAGTGTACATAGTGTAGCATTTCATCTAGCAAAGTTACTTACATACAATGATATGGACAAGCTCTGTATAACTTGCAGAACAATATCCTGATCAATAAATCTTGATAGAATACATAACATTTGCCAAGCCCGGGCTTTTCGACGATGAGTCTGTTCAACACAAAGAGAGCCACATCAGCTAATGGAGGAAAGCAACATGGACTAGCCTAATTTATTGTTATTGAACTTCAATGCAAAATGAGTTACAATTATGTGAAAAATAAGAAGATACGAAAATCAATAGCAAGTCATCATGCATCACAAGGTTCCTTAGTAAGAACAATCAAACCTACAGTTCCTGAGTTGGTGCAAAGGCAATCACGGAGCATGAGGACTGTTGATAAAAATTTATTTCTAGGATTCATAAGTGGATTTTGTGTAAGTTTTAACATCATCTACATTCCTAATAAATCTCAATTACGAGATTAGGTTTTAACATGAGCAGATATTCCAGGATAAAACCTTTTAAAATTAAACATTAAGTTTGAAACTCAAAATTTATAATTTAGAAATTTAATATATCTTTTAGAATTTCAATTTTATTTTAATATCGTCTTTTCAATTTATAAAAACAATCATTCTAAAATTAATATAGCACGTTTACTAAAAATTTCCATCGTCATGAGTTAATTTTAGAATTTATGTGATGATTGTTCTAAAACAATCATTCTAACAATCAGTAATAAAAACCATTCTAACATTGATGTGATGATTGTTCTTTAACCTATTTCCCAAGATCTCTCTAACTGCTTACAGTTATGGGGTTCATCCCTAGAATTTATGTTGCATTACTCTTCCGTTTTGGAATAATTGACATAATTCCCTCTTTAGGCTGTTTCAAAATAGTTGACACACTTCATAAGTGGAAGGGACCACCATTGTTAACTTATATTTACCATACCCACCATGGCCCACTAACTTTTCCCACAATCACGTGTCCCTCTTTGAATATATATAATTGAATCCATTAACTTTACATTCCATCAAACATTTTATTTCTACACTTCCGATGATATTAATAAACTGAATTTTAAAACTCTTTTGTTTCAACGTACTAGAGTTTGTGTTATTGAGCAGCAATCTTTAGGATTTAGGGCTATAACTTAAGCAAGTTCTTTTGTGTATGCATAGGCTTTTAGTGAAGCCTAGAACAAACAGAGAAGACTTCAAGTAAAACAAGTACAACAGTTAAAGGGGCTGCTTTGGGAACTGAGTTCTAAGAACTCAGAGTGGCCCTAGTTAGCAATAGAATTGTAACATTGTTGTTTCCCTTGAATGAAAAGGTTCGAGTCAGGGCAATCTTCTTATAGGGCCCAAGATTTTTCCTCATGAAATCTTTCTTGCACTTGTTTACTCATTACGAATTCACATGCAATTTTAAATTTCCAAAATTCTTAGCAACAAGTTCCACACAAGAATGCAACCAACTGATAACTTGTTATTTGGTATGATTTTTGGGTACTTTTGAACCTTGTTTTCGTGATTATTCGACATCAATGTTCATTATTTATCCTATTTTTATACAAACTTTGTACCATCCATGCTTCACGAGTTGTTTGTGTTTTTGATGTAATGTAGCTATTTTTAGCACTATACATGGACGTGATCAAGCATGAGTGAACAAGGAGAAGGGAAAGCTTGGTTGATAGAGCAATCAAGAAAGAAGGATGAGTGCCTTAAAGAGAAATGAAAAGCTTTTGGAAAGTTTTGGAAGGATTTTTGCACTAAGGTCAAATTCAACTGACCATAACTTTTGTTCCACTCAACATTTTTAAAGTGATTCAAATTGGAGATTAAAGTTCATCTCAATAGCTTTCCAACGACTGGTCACATGCCTTATTCCGATGAGTAACGAAGAAGTTATGACCTTCCGAAAATAAGTTGTTTCGCTAGAAAAGAGCTGCACGTCCGTGCCAATAAGTGGCACGTCCGTGCAAGTCACTGCACGTCCCTGCCAAATGAAGCACGTCCGTGCAAGGTCAGGCAATAGCTAACAGGTCTGCACGTCCGTGCAACCTTTGGCACGTCCGTGCCGACCTGTAGACGGGTCGTTTCCTCGTGTTCTCCGTCCTTTTACTTGGGGGTTATATAATACCTCTTTGGCTTCATTTGTAAGGGAGATCTTCTTACAGTAGTTTTAGCTTAGGTTAGGATTTTTAGAGAGAGAAACTCTCATTTTCTAGAGAGAGGAAGTGTGAAAAACTTGTTGAAAGCTTGGAATATGAAGAATTGAAGGAAGGAGACTTGAAGATTTGATTATTTCTTGCATTATCAATGAGAATTTCTTACTCTCTCTTATTTTATTGCTTTAATTACTTATTTTTTGTATCTTTTCTAGTTTTATTACTTGTTTATGTTAAATTAGTGTTTGGATTCATGTTCTTAGTAGTTTACTACTTTAGTTTTGCAATTTATAATGATGTGTGAGTAGTTCTTTTACTTGGAATGGTTGAAACCATTGATGAATTCACAAATACTTGTTTGCATGTGTTGATTTAGCTAATGTGGGATGTTAATTAGTTAAGTTTAAGTGGTTTCATTGTTAGTTCTTGTAAGTGGCCATTGCTAGAACTATTTATCTAAGCTTTCTCAACGAAGGATCGAGAGATGAACTTGAGTTAGCTCCCTTATGCTTAATTGACTTGAAATGCCATGAGAATAGGAATTTCCAGTCAAGGGAATGTTTATGTCATCGTGATAATGCTTTAACACTTGTTTTATGCTTTGTAACCACGAGAATAGGTTGTATTCATAACTCAAGTAATCCCTCTGAGAGAGTAGTTGGGTGCCTTAGATGACTTCCCCTAATTTATCCCCAAATTGCTATGTTTTGTATGTTAAATTGTAGTTTGTGAATGACTTAATTGGTGGATACCTTCCCAAGATCCTTTTTATTATTGTTTGTAGTTTTTCATTATAACTCAAAACCCAAAAAGACTTGACTTAGCTTATCACAAATCGATACTTGTTAGTGCTCCCCTTAGTCCTTGTGGGATCGACCCTTACTTGCCCTTTCTACCCATTAGAGAGACCAAGTTAGGTTTTTATCTTTGGTAGGCTCGACGACGGCCTATCACCAACTTCTGCAGTTCTCCATCTAACTATCAATTTCATGTCCAAATCCTACCTCTGGCATATTACTTTGTACTGAAATTATTCAAACACGTAATCCAGTTTAACCTGGAGAGGTGTACTACTCACCGCACTATGCTTCTTATATAGTTCTTTTGCAAGATCTTTGTCATTAACCTACAAAAATAAATGATGATCAAATAAAAAAGTTCACATACATGATTATGAAGAAAAAATTCATTTGTGCAACAATAAAAACGACAGAGAGATCAAGAGCGAATGCAAGGAAAGATCATTAATATCCGAGAAGGAAAGAAACTGCGATGAATAGTATATACAGCACACAACAATGATAAACATACTTATATACCCCTTAGAGGGAATCCCAAAATAGTTTCATATCTGACCCCAAATTAAAGTCAAGGAAAACTAGGAACTAAGAAAAACTTAACTCAAAAATTTACATAAAAAGGCGCTTTGAGGTGCAGCTGATCTATATTACTTTAACCCTGTGAATCAAGACTTAAAGCTGGGATGCACAAATAACAGAGTTGATGCACTGAGTTTTGTAGATGCATTTACCCTAAGGTTGTTTCCCAACCTTACCACCAGGATTTAAATTCTCCTACAAATGGTTGAGGTGAACCACCAAGAAATCTACCAATGAATTTAATAGCACCACTCACCTGCCTATTCACCTCGAAGGTCAAAACCACCACCATCAAAGACCCTGATCATGGAAGGTTAATATCTGATCTGATAACAATTCTATTTAAACCAAACAAAATAATTACTAATTAGTTTCCCTTTCTTGATTCTTTATGCTTTCTCACATATGAAACAATGAACCAACCAATCAGCCTCATATCTTTTTCAGCATCAAAGACCCTGACTATAGAAGGATATTTTCTGATCTGATTACTATTCTAGAAATGAATCTTTCTTCCAAATTTGATTGATTCACAATTAGAATACTACTATAATGTGGCAGTTTCAATCTCAATTAGATAAAGTATGAAAACTCATCTACTGTAATTCTCTGTATAAAACCTAAGGCTAAATGGAGAACAATCCTTTGAGCTGCTGATCAGATAGATCAAATTAGCAAAAGATAAGATAACCATACTATAATATAAATACAACTGTACAGCAAATATGATATTGGCTTCGGCCCTAGAAAAGCTACTTTGAAAACTCACATTCCAGGCATCCAAAACACAGGTTAAGCATTTGGATTCTACATCACAATATAAATTATATAGGAAATGTAAATTTGAAAGTAGAACTTGTTATCCACAGTTATGCTTGTAAAAATGGACGACATCAAGTGAATTTTCCAATATCCAATGCTATGGCCCAGCATAACTTGCTAAACATTACAACAAATGACAAAAATAATATTTCAATATCAAGAATCTAGGATATACCTATATAAATAAATAAATAAATAAATAAATAAATAAAATAATCAATATTGCACTAACAAAGAAACATTACCGCAGAGTCAAGAAGCTCCAACAAAAACATTTTTCCAGACTCAAAGGCAGAACAGCACTTTTCAGTTTCTCTTCCAGACCCAGCCATCTTAGCTACCTCTGCCAGCTTGTAAAAGAGCACGGCAACAGAAACTCGAGCATACAGCTCTGTATTAATATAAGCCTGGGCACAAAGTCAATCGTCAATATTACATTTACAGATGCCATAAAATGAGATTATATGTTTTTTTTTTTTTTAAAAAAAACAATATTTAGGCCACACTGAATTTTTGCCTCCCTCAATCAAATTTTTAATTCATTTGCACTTTTCTCTAAAAACAAGCAATCCCCTATTATATACTCGTGATATGCATGTCAAAGCCTAAGAAGACAGTAATTTAAGAATAGAAGGAGTAATATATTTTTTTATTACTTTTTGTAAGTTCAGATAAGATCACATCAGGCCAGACTAGATCAAATCAGAGAGCACAGATACAGATAAGATTAAAAAAATTAAGTTCAAAAACAATTATGTACTACCTTCGTTTCTTACTTGATGCAAAAAAGGATTTTTTTTTTCTCACAAATAACACCCCTTTTTTGCAACTAATAAGAAACGAAGGTAGTATAAATTCAGATGAAATCACATCTGCAGAAAAAAGTTAGCTAAACATAGCCTGAGATACTTGGAATAAAAAAGGTTAACATACCTCTGCAATCTCACTATCTGGAATTTTTGCCAACAATGACACTTCAGTTCTTGCATCACCATTCTCTGTTAGTTCCCCTTCAAAATCTTCATCAAAAGCAACTAGACACAAACAAAAAAAAAAAAAAAATAAATAAATAAATCCCATTAGAAAGTTTCAAAGGTTTATTTATTTATTTTTTATATAACATCATGAGGATAAGGAACGATGCAATAAGGTGAATACAATAGCACCCAACTCACTAGATCCATATAGAGTCAAAAGCTTTAGCTCTTTCATGTAATACTTTACGACCACAGGATTTAAGAGCCATAACCCAGTCAAGTGAAGAGCTGCAAGGCGAATGGTACGAGGACTTTTTATGCCTTCTTCAAAAACCTTTTCGCAAAACTACAAGAAAGGGGTCAAATACATCATGAATACAAGTCCGCTGTTTCATTGCATACAACAGATGCAAAAATTTGAACTGTTACTGGCCAAGGTGAGAGAAAGTAAAACATACCCACTTCAAAGGGCCAGGTCCTATATCAGTCACATGCATTTCCTCTAATCTGAAAACAGATTCATGCAGAACAGCAGAGAGAAGCGCTGCAATTGGTGCAACCCTTCGCTTATTACAGCTAGTGTGCAGTACCCATGAGGACCTAACCAATTGCCATATCATCTGGAGACAAAACGACCAGGATAGTATGTCATTTACTCCTGGAAATTGTGATATCATATTTCACAACCCAATATACTGCAATCACATACACAAGACTGAAGACATGACACCTAAAGTCTTTGAAAGGTAAAACACCTATTTACATCCACATCAGTCTCTTTTCCACAAGTCCAACAAAAATATATACAAGGAACCTCGACTTAAAATTTGGCACAAAGAATATATAAATGACACCCATACCTGTGCATCAACCCCACTACAGCCAGAGACAAATGAACTACTCGAAGTTAATAGATCCAAAACCATTCTGACTGATCTCAGCATGGACAAAACAGAATCTTCTCCAGCAGTCTCTAGGCTGCGAATTCATTTGAGTTGAAGTTGATAAGCCAAAAATCACATCACATACAAAATGTTAAAAGAACAAAAGCTGGTATGGATTTGCATCTCTGCCTCACTAGTAATCTCTTTGTAAACAGCATGGAAAATAATTACTTACCTCTCAACAAGGTCAGCAAAGATAAAGCTGACAGCGTCATTTGAAAAGAAAGTATTATCATGTCCAAACTGGACTCCATTTTGAAAAGCATGATATGGAATTGATAATAGAGCTTCTAGGCACAGCCACTAAAACATATGGGAAAAAGAGAGGAAAAAAAAAGGATTAATTTTGCAAAATAGTATCTCTCAATCATCAAGAAATATATCATGAGCTGATGCAGACAACACAGATTGGTAACAAATACTGATAAGAAAACCATTACAAAAGCTGCATTAAAGTGAAAGAAGGCCCTTTGACTTGACATGAGCCTGGAATGCTAATGCATAAAGTGTCACCAACCATATTCTAGCCAAAACCTATGCTACACGGTAGAAATAAAAGAACAAGGGCATACAAGCCTTACCAATCTAGACACAAAAATATATAGACACAATCACCTTTACAAAAAAGAAGCCTCAAGATGACAGGTAGCGACTGTCTTTACTTGCTGAAATTGCCTGAAGTACAAAGTTTATGTACATGGCCCTACGTAGGGAAAAAAAATATCCTACTCTAAACTAATTCAGTTTAGCTACTCTAGGGAAAAAAACATAGTTGAACTTTCAAAAAAATTAATTAACACATGGTTAGGAATTTAATCCTTTTTATTCAACAATGGTTTGACTTCTTGACAGCAAATATTGCAATTTATCGCTACAACTAAAAGATTTTCAAACATTAGCTCGTGACAATACATTTACATACAGCAGTCACAGAACTACATAAACTGGAAAGGAAAGTACAGCGTACAAAAGGGGAATACCTTCCAGTTCATTAATATAGCCCTCCTCGTTCGGGCTAATTGCTGAATAGCAAGTAAACCATTTATGTGATTGAGAAATGTCAGAACCAGGGAATCAAGAAGTGGCCTATTCTTTGCCACTGGATCTAAGGTGCTATTCATGTCTTGAATATTATAGACAGTTGAAGAAGAAATCACTGGAGCAGAAGCTTTTAGGGCAAAACTCAGAGCTTCATATGCAGCCAAATTAATCTCCGCACTAGTCTGCTTGAAGACATTAAAGGTAGTGAGTAGAATCACAAGGAAAAAGTATATATGATGGAACATGCAACATTTATTAGGACGATTTCTGCTGAGAGCCCCCCCAATTATATACCTTATTGAATAGATCTATCTGAATGCTTCTATGATGTCAAAGGGGTATACTCAATTGTTTAAAGTAAAATAAGCTATCCCACAGAAGAAGTCAGGTGTATGCCCTGACATTATTTATTACTTAAACTAAACCAAAGTGGCATCTGCTCATGAAACATCCAGCTCCCCCCATGACACAAGAACAAGGCCCCCCTTAATTATTAAGGCTTTGTTAAGTTAGGGTTTCTACAATTTACGACCAATGTATAAAAAGGCTCAAGGCGCACCAAGGCGTTTTGGAGTATCTTGCGCCTAAGGCGCGCCTCAGAGCGCCTTGGTGCGCCTCATTGAAGTGAGGCACATATAATAAGAAATAAAAAAAATTCTGAAAAAAGCTCTTGTTGCGCCTCAAGCTGCGCCTTGGTGCGCCTTAGCTGCGCCTCATTGAAGTCGCCTCGCCTAGACCATAAAAAGCGCATGACCTCTAACGCCTTGCGCCTAGACGCGCCTTAGGCGTACTTTTTCAAACACTGTTTACGACCACGCAGCTATTGCCTTATCTACATCTCCGCTTCCTCCACCTCAATAACTCCCAGTTAGTTGTAGCATCTGGTTTTCAGAGAAACAGAGAGCATTGGCAGTAGCCCTATTTCCTCCACATTGTTTTCCTGCAAAGCTTCATACATGCCCTGATTGCGGAAGACATTCAAATGATCGTCAGCCTAGTTCTCTCTCCCTGTTGCATTCTTCCTTCTCTATCTCGCATATCCATTTCAGAGCTCCAAAATAATATCTCTGAGTCAATCAACATCTTACATTTGTTATCCTCTATGTTGCTTACAGCTTAATTTTTTCTATTTACTAATTTACAATTATGTTGATTATCAATCAGATTTATATCTAATAAGTCAATGGCTTGAGACTTTATGAGGAATTGATCCCTCAATGGCCTCAAGCAGGGTCACTAGCCCACTAGCAGTTTTAATACCCGTCAGGGAGGCTAACTACCCTTACAACCAGTGTTTAAAATGGGACAGATTGAGACCATGAGGGTGAAGGACAGAATGATACGTTGAGAGTGAAAACATGAAACAGGATGGTGGAACATGGAAGAAAGGAGAGACAGAAAGAGAGCGAATGCACAGGGGTACCCATCATATAGGACTCTGGTAATCCATCCCACTATATATATCCACCTAGGAAATTTGTGACTAAACTTTTCATGTGAAAGATTTCTAGGTGGAAATCAGTGACTCCGGGAATAGTAAGTTAAGGGGATGCTGTTTCAGTTTTTAGTCACAGAAAGGAAAACAGAACATGCATCATTGAGAAAGATTGTAAATGGATTTATTGATCAGCTTAAATGTTATAGAAACTTAGGAACGGCAGCTGGAGATACTTCCAACTTTTGGATGTCACAATTGAATACAAAGTATTGATTAAATCACGTTCAGAATTTTTATCATACCTCACAATCACCGAAAGCTGAGGAAACCACCAAGTGCAAGAATTTCCACACGAAAGAGAAAGCAAGATTTAGTCCAGCATCATCTTTGATATGTGCACACCATGATGAGACAGTTACAACAGTTCTCACTGACACAATCTGTCAACACATCAGGATAAAGAATCAGATGCTGAGCATTTACCAAAATCCAAGTCTTATAGCTTGAAATGAGTAAAGCAATGGAAACAACTACTAAACTAGAGTGAACACATAATCACCATATACTTAGAACAGAGAATAACATTACACTGCTGCATTTATGACCAAATTACAGACAAGATTTGCAATAACCAAACGGGCATCAAATTGAGATTACAACTCAAATATTCTACAAGCATAATATAAACAAACAGCCAACAAGATCCTACTCCTAGACAAGTGTGGAGTTTTTACATCATTTATAATCGAAGGTCCAATATGTAAACCCTGTGAGAGCACTACTTAACAAATCTTGATGGCTTGACCTCATACAATAACAAAACAAAAACAAAAAAGGTTATCAAATCAAAGAATCTGAAAATTTTCTCCTCAAAAAGAATATTTCTCAAACAATAGTTATGGCGCTTAGTATACTCAGTGCTTCTTCTTAAATCATCATCACTTTCTTTGACTTTAGTAAGTCAAATTGATACCTTCAAATCAGTAATGGGTCTGTGGAAAAAAAAAATGGCTCCAAAAGAAGGAGTATACAATAGCAACCCTACGTCCTTTCTTTAATCAAGAATTCAAGATACAAAGTCATAGTTTACTTTCCAAAAAAGCTCCCTATCTAGCTCTACCTTTCAGTAGACTAAAACTTAATTACATTTATCCTCTATAACAAAAAGACCAAGACTAATATCAATCAAAATAAAATCCGTCCATTTTTATTTTCAGCACTTCAATCAGTCAATCTTGATCCCCCCTCCCCCCCCCCCCTCCCAAGGTGCAAAAAGAACCCTCAATTATATTTATGTGACTTTGAAAGTTGATCCCCCCCCCAAGGTGCAAAAAGAACCCTCAATTATATTTATGTGACTTTGAAACTTCACAACAATCACATTTCCTTTCCTTTTTTAAAAAAAAAAAAGTATATTGCATTAATCAAAGCAGAAACTTTTGGTTGCATGAAGAGTAATCATAATGCTGTGTTAAAGGTAAACAGTAATACAGACAGGCACACATTATCAAAGATACTTGCCAGATAAGGGTCTAATTACCAAAATCCAGTCAATAAAAGGTTAACATTCTACTAAACATACTACATTGTAACTTTTGGTTGCATAAAGAGTAATCATAATGCTGTGTTAAAGGTAAACAGTAATACAGACAGGCACACATAATCAAAGATACTTGCCAGATAAGGGTCTAATTACCAAAATCCAGTCAATAAAAGGTTAACATTCTACTAAACATACTACGTTGTTCCCAGCATGGGCAGCAATAGCATACGAATTTATAAGCTAAAAGAAAACAGAAACAAAGGAAAAATACAGCTTGCAAGACAGCAGTTGTGATAGGAGAAGATAGTCGCCTCCGACTAGGGCCTCCTAGCTTTCCAGTTACGGAACCAGGTAATCTACCATCCACCACAACATGAGACCAGAATATTGAAGAAGACGATTCAGCAAATGAAATCAAGTCCTTCTGCAAACCAGACAGAGTCATCCAATATTAGTATTGACTTATAAAGTATAAACTCAAAAGCTATAAACTCATTTAGCCAGCAAATAATAAATTATCTATTACCAGTATGACAAGGAAAACATTGGAAAACTTATCAGCAATAAGAAAATTCTTATTAGCAGTGCCATTCAGCTCGGATTTAAGTTGTGCTTTGGTGTACTCATCAGAGCCTATCTGCATAAATTCTAGCTCATGAACCAGGCTCAAGAGCAATATGAGATACTTCACAGGTATCATCTCCCCCAAGCTGTGTTGTTGACTGGTGCTGACACCCTTTTCTTCAATAAACTGCCACGTTAAATTAAGAAATTCAGAAAATTGGAGGAAAAGTTGGATCAAATTAGAGCAGAATCACCAATATCAGCATACTCAAGCTGAAAAAAGATCGAAATAAAGAAAAGAAAATATTAATAAACTGTACCAAAAAATAAAATAAAAAAAAAATAATAATAATAATAATAATAATACCCTAAAAAGAGGTTCTAATTGGTATTCTTCCTCCACGTACAGAAACAAAACTCTAGCCCATCTTTCCGCTTCAGTGAACCATGCAACCAAGTCTTCATCATCATAATGAAACTCGACATCAGATTTTTTTTTATGAGAGGAAAATCTTTCCAAGAAGTCCCACAGACTTCGCACAATTTGCATTTTGTCACTAGAGCAATCTGTAGCATTATTCAGCTTGTGATTCCCTATAAACCATTTCTTTAATTTGATCCTTAAAGAACCTTCAAAAAGCAACAATCAAGAATAAAGTTGTAAGCCAGCGGGGAAAGTAGAGTGTGAATTAATACAACAAGACCGGCCATATATAGTCTAAAAAGGAATAACACGGAGTGTTATTATTAATTTAAAACATCCATATTTAAAAAGTGTAACCAAGAAACGGGGCCGTAAAATACAAAATCAAAAGAACAAATCATTGACCAAATCAAAAAGAAAAAGGAGGGAAACGGTTGAAGCTTCAGCTCATAAAAAATTAAAAAGCATATCAGAAGTAGTTTCATACCCCCAGTATCAGTAAATTCACGTGGTAAAGCTGCTATGAAGTGCAAAATTGTCTCAAGGGAAAGCTCGTCAGGACAAACAACTGAAACAGCAGCTTCTAGTACTCTCTCGCAAACTGGAATAAAAACTTCTAGGTCAAAGGCAATTACAGCAGGAAAGATTTAACAGCATCATGAAATAATATATTAATAGGTCAGCAACAAAAAATTGCATACTTCTGAGACGGTAATTAGGATTGAAGTGCTGTTTACTATTTTCAACAAGAAACCTCAGACTGTCAATTAAGTCAGCTTTATCGGCACAATGTTGAGTTCTTGAAGACTCCATGTCATTTAAATCAGGCAAGGCATTTATCCATTGTCTGGCAGCACCAGTACCCACTTGCCCCTCCGCTGAGAAATATTTTGACGATTTGCTTGCAGAAAAGATGCATTCTGATAGGCTCATTAAACCAGCTCGGCCAAGAGACTGCTGTCTTGCTACAGATGCTAACTCGCGTAAAAATAAAATCTGTTCCCTATTAGACACTTAAAGGAGTCATTTCTTCAAAAAAAAAAACCATTTAAAGAAGTCATATAACATCAATAAAGCACCAGAACTTATACCAATACATTATCTTGCTAAAGTATCAAGATTATCACTCTATGAGTTGATCATTATACCTTAAATTTGAGAAGCATCACATTCTGACAATCCATAAATGAAAAAAATATGTCCCCACCACCCCCATATGCTCATGTGCACTGGAACATGGATATGACATGTTTTTAAGACCAATCAAACCTTTTTACACTAAATTTAAATAGAAAGAACAAGTTACAGTGAGCAAAAACAGCACAATGCCACAAAGATTAAGGCAGCAAACATAAGGATCTCCATTCAAGTATTACAACAGATATAAGCAAGCTGATGAGGGTATTCCACCTTATCCCACTGGTTATTCATGATGCAAAACAAGGTGAGTAGCAGTCTCATCATTAGCAGATCACAAAATGCATATGTGAGATACATGTATAATGTTTAGAGGTACCCTCTGAGCATGAACTCTTTAGTATTGAGCTTTTCCAAAATGTAACCTAAAAAAATAGCAAGTCATAACTCATAAGAACCAATCCTGAATTAGAAGTTCCATGAAAGAATCACTGACAAACCACCCCAAAGCTAAAGAAAAAAGTGCTGATAGACCAAAGATAATAAATATAACTTGGAAAAAAGGATGGATATGAGCATTCCTCTACCCCACTTGGCAATTGGCATTCTTCCCAAAAGCAAAAAATACATTAAACAGCATGACCAAAGGAAAAAGGGTGGTGAGCAAACCTTGTAAACTTCCACGGGCTTATGTAAAATCCACAACTCTATTTCTGTAAAGATCGTATCTGCTTAACCACTTTATGCCATATAGATCCATGTTTTTGTGGAGATTGCAAAAGCTAGATTAATTATGGAAATGTTCTTGATACTGATTTACAGAAAAAAGAAATCTATCTTCAAAAGGTTACAGACACATTTCTCACACACTAGGTAATCTACTTTCCCTTTCACCAGCCAAAGGAGGTCTCATGACTTTTGACCTCTTAGCTATAGATATTGGAAACTTACAGGACCAAAGTACAAGTGAATACTGGAAAGATAATGATTGAACAAACATGACCAGTCTCCCTTCAAATTATAAATTACAAGGCCTCTTCCATCCCTCCAAACTCTTGGAAAATTTCTCAATACCTTGGTGTCCTGATATGACATCCTTAAATTATCCCCTAAACATTGTAGATGGACTGTAGCAAATCAACAGCCTGCTAAAGAAGATAATCCAAAACAATGGGATCTACTTTTACCCTAGAAACACAAGATTTAAACAAACTAATCTAACGTCTGAATAAAGTTAAATCTTAAGGGTTAGAGATTTATGAAGCATCTCCTATATTGTTACCAAAACATATCATCTTACGCCAGAATACTTATAAAGAAAGAACGGAAACAGAAGTGCACAGCTTATTTCTAACCAAAATAATAACATATACTGACACGTACCTCCCATGTAAAAATTTAAAGTATTGGTACAAGAACTTGGAGGCACCTTCAATTGTTTTGGAAGAGTGGAAACCTTTCAGACCTACACAAAGTATATAAAATTATAAACCATTTATAAAGAGGATTAGCATTTCTAAACAATTCTTGCAAGAGTTGAACCAACAATTCTGACATGTATTCTGTATAAAAGCAACAAGAAATAAAAGCTTGACAATGTTAATTTTCTAAAATATTCAGGATAGGTTGGCTGCACCACCACTATCAGGCAAATATAAAAAAATAAGGCATCACATAATGACAATGATTTCAAAATTGCTGAAAGTCTTTTACTCTGCAACCTAATATTTCAATTTTGAACCTATAACTATATACAGAGTATATTTTATGAGAAGACAGCTAATGACAGTTATGGATGCATATGATTTTAGCATGCCCAGACCTTTACAGTCTCCTAGTATCAGCAAAAAGAGAAATTATTTGAGGTAAAACCTGAAATCCCTAGTTTTAGGGACATGGATCAACCAACAAGAGAATATACTTCCTAATTACCGCTCGAAGGCTGACTACCAATATTTGAAAGAGGTAAGAGAAATCAATATAAAAGCAGTAAACTTTAAAGGTGGTAAAAAGGTGAACTAGAAATAAAAAATTGACTCTCAAATGTGCCCTACATCATAAAAGATCTTTTTCAGTCACCAAAGTAGAATAAAGGAACACAAATGCTTCAAATATTTTGCAGATTTAATAGTACAGGTATGACTGGATAAGGCAGGGTAATTGAAATATACAGACCAAAATCTTTGTGGTGAACTGGATCATTCAGCCCTTGCATAAAGGCACCAAGCACAAATTTCTCTGGAAACAAAGCTCTGCAGTTGTCCTGATTCTTCCATTCAATATCCAAAAAAGACTTCATAATCATGCACCTAACTGAAGCACAAAAAAAAAAAAGGCAGTCAATTATACAGGGAGGATGAATTATGTGAAAAGGGCAAGAATCTCAGGCATAGGATACACTTTAAAGTGAAATAAATTTAACTGCCGATTGATGTTAAGGAATACATCTATACCATGCGGATTATCATGAAAAAGTCCCCGTTCCCATAAAATAGCTAGCCAGTCAAAGTTGCCACCAAGCATATTAATTTGCTGATTAGATGCTTCAGGATCCATAACACTTTTATGGTAAACACGTGATTGGAGTAGCATCATAATCTGTAAAAGAGAAATGATTCGGTAACAGTCTATCCATCTTCACATGTTATAAAACTGAATATCATATGAATACCAAGGGGTATCCCTCAAGCAGAAAAAGAAGGGAGAAACTAAACCACTTCACCCTAAAACTCAATAATCAGCCAAGTACAAAAGACGAGATATAGACAAAGTCAGCATGCCCTCAAGTAATATAATTCTGCAGGTATCATTAATGATTAAGATAAGCAATGCTAAATGAAGGGAAATTATTGCAAAAGGGATTTCAAATTATATTTAGGGTATTAAAATTTTGGAGCTGCATGCGAAGTACAAACACCAATAAAAAAAAATCAACTATTGTTATAATCTGTTACTAATGACAATGTTGAACAATTTATCTGCTTTCACATGAGTGGCTCATAGTTTCAAATATTGGCTGATACAATACATAAATTACTACATTTTTTTAAACCAATACTTCCATACAGTAAAGGACCCGTACATGTTGGCTGATACAGAAAAACTAGAGTCAAAACAACACCGATTGAAAGCTGATACAACTTAAGCGACCAATATTATTAAAAAATAATAATAGATAAATAAAAATTACTGCATTAATTTAAGTCGAAACTCATCAGAATTTTTCTATCTTAGAAACAATATTAGCTGAAGTGGTGCACATGATAATAAAACACATAAGCAAGGCAGAAAAGGTGCTTCGTATCAGTATTAATCTACCCTCTTTTGGCAAAAGCTTAGATTTTTAAGATGCAAAACCTTCTTCTGAAATCTATCAACGGTAAAACCCAAACAATTATACACTAAAAAGGACCAACAAGAGGAAGACTCAAATCAGTTGAAGAAAGAAACTTCACCAAACAACCAAAGAAATTAGTTTAAGATTTATAATTTGATGCCTCGACAACTTGAATCAGACCATGGTTCTGAAAATAGACCCTCAAAATGCTGTTCCTTAAACCAGTGGAAGACATCCCAAATAAACCCAAGTTTTTCTCACTGATTGGAAAAAAAAAAAAAAAAAAAAAAAAAAAAAAAAAAAAAAAAAACCCACACATGCACATGTCGTATAGTAAGTGAAGGGGAAAAGTTGCTTTCCTAAATACATGGCTGATTAGAGCACAAAATGAGCTGAAAGGTCCATCTTCTTTCTTCACGCACATTTGAAATTCCAACAATAAACCTACCAGACATATATGAACTCCAAAGCTTAGAAAGAGGGGAAATGTTTCATAGTATTCAAGGCAAGAGCTGCTAAAGAATTTGAAATCTACAGTTTTGGTTAATCCTGCCTAGGATATTGACAGTATTAGTCAACATGGATATGTGCTAACACAATACAACATTCTCTATCCAACAATTTGGGGCAGGGAGAGGAGGGAAGAAGAGAGGGGGGGGGGGGGGGGTACTTTGTATATGAACCTGATGATTCCATGCAGCCTCAACCAAGTGAGTGCCATATTCATCAAGCATCTCATAAAGAAGTATGAATGCCTCCCACTTCTGCTTTTCGCTCAAATATTCATCAGCTGAGAGGCATATTTGCCCAATGCCTAGTGATTTGGCTTCCTCTTCAGCCCAGACATCCCTTTTTGTCATGCCATGAGGAACTGGAGCTCTATGGCGTGACTTTTTCTCTGTAACAACTGGATTGAGCTGCTCTCCATCATTTATAAGCATTACTCTCTTCAGTATGTATAAAGATTGCTTCCTTATCAAGCCTTCCTTTTCAACCTGGACACCCCCACATCAAAAATATAAAATATCAATCAATAAAGAAACAAGATTATGCAGTATGAAATAGATCAATTTTTTAATTAAGATGAATATAATAAGCCCACTACTTTAGTAGCCATTTATATATTTTAGTATATATTAATGAATCGATTAAGAAAAGAGGACACAGTACCAAGCCTCTTTTAATTTCATCCCAAAATTCCTTTTCAGCTCTTATGTCAAATTCTTCAGCTCTATGATCATCCATTTCCACTTGAGACTGATCAACAGAAGAAAAATAGGACAAATACATAGAGATTATACCATATGCATCTCTCCTTTCTGCAAGTCCCAAAGCAAAAAGAACTCGGGAACACTTCCATAGATTCATGAAGAAATGTTGCCTAGAACACCAACAAAGACACTTATTACAAACTAAAATAATTATTTGAATTCAAAACATAAAAAGTATTTGTTCTATAATACTGCACCTGGATATACAGCAGTTTCCACCTTGAATGCAAACTTCATATGAGCACTTCGAAGAAAATGCTTTAAAAATGGATGGGAGCAGAAGACTAGTGGTGCAAGACCTATGATCAAGACTCTGTGAAAGCATTTGGATAGTCAAATTGCATAGATCCCATAAAAGATTACCACAAAATGTTTCTGATGGGATGGAAGAGCCTTTCATATCTTGGTTTTTCTCTGCTGCAGCATCCAGTAGGCAGCTCAAAATGTAGCATGACAGAGTCAATGGAAGAACTGGAGCATTATCACTTTTGTTAACCAATTTCTGCAAGTCTCCTGAGCTCTGAAAGATGGAACACCTACTCCATATAATGACAGATTTATCTTCGTTTTGACACATGTCCATGGAAAACCCAACTGATCGCAGGAGAATTGGAACCAGTGAGGCCTCAATTAGTTCCCAGTTATTGGTTTCACTTACAACTTCAAGCACAGAGCCTACAATCTAAAACAAAATAGAAAATGCCACACATTAATTAAATTACCAGCAATGACACTCCGTAAATAAACAAGGGAATTCACAATATTCTTTACACAAACTTACCTCATGTAACATTTCTTTCTCATACAGCTGAAACATCTTCATCATTGGGATGAAACCATCCCACATAAAACATTCCAGAGCAACAGAATTCACTCCTGCCAAAACCAATGATTTAGTCATAGTTGTTATCATCCATTCATACCTTATCCGTGAAAAAAACAAAGACCAATTCCAACATAACTTGTTTGTTATTAAGTAAATTTGTGAAACAATTTTGATATAAATATATAGAATTAAATTAAGTCGAATTAAATTCTTGGTTCATGTAACCGACGGCACCTTTGGGATTAAGGCTTTGATTATTGTTGCTGTTGAATTAATTGTTGTATGTAAGGATTGTACTAAAAACAAAAGCTTTAATCCATGAGCCATGATTGTATCTCTAGCGGTCATCAACAAAGATCCTCTTCCTCCTTTCCCTTCAATCAAGTGCTACATGCTCTTGTAAATCCAATTTCCTCAAATCATTCTCAACTCCTTCCACCTAAGTCATCTTTGGCCTCCCTTGACACCTTCTAAAATCTTCTAGATGAAATTGGCTCTCCTAAGAATATGGTAAAAAATGATTTAATAATCTATTATATGGCATTTTGTAGAAGAGATGCCATTTACTTTAAAGTATTTGAACTTTCTTGCAAAGATATTTCTTGGATCATGACTATATTCACTTCTAAATGTTCTCTATTTTTTTTTGAAATATCATTACATGGATTTTTCTTGGCGAGGAGAGGGTTGGGGGAGGTATGAGACAAGAGAACCTTCCAGCTTCTCTTCCCTTTGTTATATGTGGTCTATTCGTCAGAACATAAAATTGGCAATAAACCTGAGTTCTGTTTTCATTGACCCTTTAAACATAAAACTAGACTGTTGTAGTTAAAGATGAGAATACTCATCGATCACCTTTCAGAATGCATACCTCCCCTTTCCCCGGCAATATCACGACAAAGCTACCACCTCTTCCGAATTCTCACAAACTTATGACCTTATGTTAAAGATTTAGCAAACAATATATAAACACTGCAGTTCAAAATGACCAACATATAAATCATGACCCTAATCCTTAATGCTTAGCAGATGATACACAACATAGACCAGAGTCACCAGACACATACAGTACAGAAAACCCTAAGTAAACTACATCCTACACTTTAATTCGTATACCGCCTACAAAGATCTTCTTCATACTGTGGAAAAAGTTCCACAACAAGATACACCCCTTATAATTACTACAGTTAAATTATAGCCCCATTGGTAGCTAAAGGGGACATTATTCTAGTAAACTCGAGCATGCGTTAAAATACATCTATAATTCTCAATAGCATCGCAAAAGTAACCATACTTAAGCATCCCAAAATTAGAGCCAGACAATTGAAATGTGACCATACTTAAACGAAACTCAAATTCTGACCATACACAAGCGAAAGCACAACCGAAGCGAAACTCAAAAAGAATTGGGTATTTCCAGTAGTCTAAATTCAATACTTACCCATTTTCTTCATAAGATGAGAGAGCCCCCGCAAGTAGGATACAATAAATGCACATTCCTCAGAATCTAACTTCTTATTATCCTCAATAATCACCTAATCACAACAAATACACACAAAAATGGGCAAAACCAGTGAATTACATCAAAACAAAAATTGAAAATTACAACACCAAAAACTGAAAATTGTAAAATGAACAAGAAAATCAAACCTTGATGAGATTGGAGAAATCTGGAAGAAGCGAATCAAAGAGGGATGAATGCGATACACCAGTAGAAGTTGAAATACAGTCTAACATTGCTGGAACTGCCGCCGGAGGAACAGTGCGGAAACTCTGCGACAATGAAGAAGTGAGCAAATCCGCCATTTTCGAGGAGAGTGCAAGTTCAATGGCCGAATTCAGAGTTGAATCGCTGAAATTAGCGCGAACAATCGCACAGTGTAACAGTTAATTTGGTGAAAGTGGTATCTAGGGTTCTACAAAAACCCCTGCTAAACCCCAAATCCAAGGCGCGCCTATGCCTTTTATCTTAACTTTCCCCCTCTTTTCTTTAATCTCTCAAGCTTTTTTTTTTTTTTTAATTAATTTTCACTAGGGAATAAACTAAATTCCACAAATCAATCAATTTTAAAAACTATTCATGCAATATCGCTCGGTTCTAAGGTTGATATTTGTCCGTATAAAATCGCTAACATTGTTATTGGGACTAGAGGAATAGAGGGGACCTTCCACCGAGCTATTTGGGGGTCGACCTTGCTAGATTAGTATAACTTAGTTAATGAGCTTAAATAACCTAATTTTACTTGTAAAATATTGGGACATGGTTGTAAAATATTCGAATCACAACGTCTTTAATATTTTCGGCCAACATCCGTCATTGTTACCTAATGTATTATTAGAGTTTTGGAAAATTTGTCTAAGACAACCTTTTAAAAGACACTTTTTGTTTGGGAAAACCTTTTAAAAAAATTTTGGCAAAGTCAGACCCGTTTATTTTATTTTATTTTTTGGTTAAGGACGATCAACCCCTACTTTCAGGCCATTGACCACCGGAATCCGGCGTTGACTTGCACGTGACTTGCACATGGTCCTTCTAGCAACTGGAAACACATACCCACATCTCTTGTCTTCAAATCGATCCATATTTGTAATACCCTAAAATTTTCTAATTTAGGTTTCGGAGACGAAGCTTGTTTTAAGGAGGGTAGATTGTAATACCCGTGAATTTTGTTTCTTATAAAGTTTAAAAATCAGATAATATTTCATATCTTTTATTTTATATCATATCATTTGATAGAGGTTTAAAACCCTATTTTAATTGAAATAGGATTCTATATTTTTAAGGGTATATAACCTATTATAACCCTATTAAATTTTTGATGCAAAAAATATTCTGTAGCCGTTTTAATTTTATGCCTATCTTTTTCTTCTTTCTCTTTACTCCACTTTGTTCGTGGCTTTATTGTTGCAACCTACTATTAATCTTAGTATTAGAATAAGCATTTATCTTCATGATCATTAATTGGTCAAAACCACTTTATTTTTATTCCAAAGTTTTGAGTGATGTGTGTAATTGTGATCAGTAGCAATTGCGGAGTACTCATGTGCATGTAATTGCGGCATTCCCCCCTTCTATTAGATCTATTTATTTACGAAAGGTAATCACACAGAACTTATTTTAGAGTCATTTGTATTATATTTCTTATTATTATATATGAATTGTATGATTTATTATTTGTAATCTTGTACATGTATATAATTGATTATTATATGGTATTATATGATTTTATTGGTATTGAATATTGTATTATTTTTGTTGTACTGTATTTTATGACTTAATTTTCGAATTGATTATTGTGTTATTCGTGTTAGGGTTTTTTAATGTTGTTATTTTAGGAAGTATTGTTATATTGAGGTTTTAGGGTTACTAATGCAGAGTATTATTTTGGGTTGAAAATTGATTACATTTGGGTAACTAGTATGATTGCCCTATAAGAGTTGAGATATACTACGATTGAGTCGAGTTCGAATTATTATATTATTTGGGAACATGTGCCAATATTGAGAATTTATTATCATGTGAAAGATTACTTGATCGATGTATGAGATCAAAAGGTTGAGATTATTATTATATTCTTGGTTTGAGGCTCGGCGTTATAGACCTTAGTACTTGGCATGTTGGTAATGAGATAATGATCATGAGTTAAGAATGAGGTACAATCTTTACTATTTGTTTTATTTATGGTCCCTTACAGTAGGAATTGACCCGTATGTGGTCTGGTTCAAGGTGTTTTCTAGTTATTGGGAGTATTCAAGTTTTTATACTTGTTGGTTTTATTCGAATTACCCATGTCCAAGGCTAGGTATAGAACAATGAGCATGGCACACTTATGGGTTATGAGTTGAGTAAAGGTTCGTACTATTATTCGAGGTTGAGTTTGACAAAGGTTATTTTCAGAGTACAAAAATGTGTAATGTAGTTTCGAACTACATTGTTTAATTGAGCTAGTGTGGTCTATTATTCAATTATACTCTATATTCTGATTTGTGGTGATTACTCAGCTTTTGCTGACGTGTGTGTTATTTTGTTTTGCTACTTGTGTTTGCGGCCATGTCTTTTTCTTATGGTGGCCCTGCGACGATCTATTTTGGAATTTGTCCTTAATGGTGAGCAGTCAAGATTTTCTAAGCAGGTTGATCAAGTGGTCGTAGCTAAAGGAGCTCAAGTGTTTCGATTAGTGTGATGTCATGAGTTTATAAAGTTGTATAAATAGCTCATCTAGTTTATTGGGTTGTAATTAATGGGATTTTTGTAAGCCTTAACACTTAACAGTTTGTTGAGTGTGGCGGTAATACTTCCGATTTAGGAGTATGCTTCCGCAATTTTATTTAAAGGTTGTTCATTTTTCCTTTAATTCTTATTTATTTTCAGTTAGTAAATCGGGGGTGTTACAATATTTAGCAAGCAATTTTTATACAATCAAACCCAAATCAATTCCAAAATTGAAACCCTGATTTTACAATTTGATAGAATTCGAACAATTGGGGAGAAATTACTAACCTTAAATGCAAACAACATCGATCCCACCAATTTTGAATTGATGAATACCCCTAACAAACCCTAAATTAGGGAGAATTTTTAGTTATGGATTCAATTGAAGAAGAAAAGGGGTTTCTATGTGAAGAAACTGAAGGGAAAAGGGGTTCAAATAAGAGAAATAAGGACCATGTGCAAGTCAAGTGCGAGTCAACGCCGGATTCCGATGGTCAATGGCCTAAAAGTGGGGGTTGGTTGTCCTTCACAAAAAAAAATTAAACAGGTCTGATTTTGCCAAAAAAAATTTAAAAGGTTGTCCCAAATAAAAAAATGTCTTTAAAAGGTTTTCTTACGCAAATTTTCCTATAGTTTTTATACATATAACCACTAATATCATTAAATTAGTAGTTCTAAGTTGAAATTACCTTGTTTGCATTAGCTTTCAATTCTGTCTAATTATATGGAAACGCTAATGGTATCATAAGTTTTATGCATGGAACCTCTAATGGTATTAGAGGCTATACATAGAACCTCTTATACTATTAGCAATTACTAATATGTGTCGGTTAGATATAATTATTTTAATTACATGCATATACTAATATGTGTCGATTTGAATAATTTTGTAACTTGATTTACTAGTATTTTTTGTGGGTTAACTCTCAACAACAAAGAAATAAATATCCCTCACTTGTCATCACTCATGCAGAAAAACGTTAACACAAATTTGGAAATGTTTTTTTTAAGTGTTAATATACTTGAAAATCGAAGTTATGTTGATAAAATTCAAATCATAATTTTGAGTTACACAGTTGAAACAAAACGAGAGTATAGGCAAAATAAAAGGCAAGCATTAAATTTTTGATCTAACAAATCAACAAGTTCTTGTACCTAGACATTTAAAAAAAATCTATAATATAATTGCACAGCCAACTTTAACGAGAGAACACCAAAACCCCAATACTTGCCTCACATTCACTCCCACCCAAATTCACTAATCCCTCCAAAATTACTTCTACTTTCTAATTTAAAATTTAAAAAACAATTACACTTAAAAAAAAAAGGGATAATAACTACCCACTAAAATCTGAAAGAACAAACTACCCACTAACATCTAAAACTCCAACTTATCAATTACACGGTAAACATACATCCACTAATCACATTCTTCTCCATTTCATATTCTCAATGCAACACTCACAGATTAATCCAGTTTGAAGGAAAAAAACAAGTAAAAAAATAAACATCTGTTACCGTCTATACGCCTCCCACAACCTTACTGCTGCTGTCAATTACCATTAAAGGTATGTTTATATCCACCTAATCCTTTTGAGTGGAAATATACCTACCTTAACTTTCAATTTTTATCTCTTTTAAAGTAAAAAATTATTATTTTCTCTTTGGATTAATTGTTATTGATAATATTATTTAACAAATGATGATTATTATTTTAGTTTTTATGAACCTTCAACTATAAAGAACTATATCGTAACTATTAATAGTAGTTTATTGGCATTTTGATTTTTGTTTGTTTTATTTGGAACTTTCATAATTCAATTTTAAGTTGCAAAGTATTTGTTGGGATTTAAATTATTGATTCATTGAATTGGTAATTTGCAGGATTTTAAAGTAGCTCTTCTGCCAAAGAGTTTAACAGAAAGAAGAAAAAGAAGACAAGGTATACATAGATATTGGATTAATTGCTCAAGTTTAATATGACTCAAGTGTATTAAAATTAGATAGAGTAAAGAGGGTTACTGTACATGTAATATATGGTAGTTCAGAACTTAATATGAAGTATATATTATGAAGAATGATCATTATAGTTTTATCTTCATTAGATAGAGCAAAGAGGGTTACTGTGCATGTAATATATGGTAGTTCAGAACTTAATATGAAGTATATATTATGAAGAATGATCATTATAGTTTTATCTTCATGCACTCGATTGGTTGCACAAAATTAATGGGTATGATGTTGCGTTGTGTTTAGATACATAAAATTTAAGCGTATATATATGCTGCTGAATGTTCCCCTCCTTTGCGTGAAAATTACCAAATTCAAGTGACTTTGAGTGGCACTTGCTCAATGTTATTATACGAGTAGGAGTTACCCATCATTCTTACTCAATAGTTAGTAGTACTATTTTCATCATTTTCAAAGGCCATCATCTAACTAAATATATTAAATAAATTAAATAATAAACGTTCCCCATGATTCATAAGCATCCATGATAAAAATTAATTCAAAAAAATATATAACAGTAAGTTATTATATTAAATTAACTTCCCGTGGTAAAAAAAAAAATATATCTTTCCGCATTTAAAATATATTTTTCTTATAATATATTTTTTACTACCTTTCTCTATAATATATATCCCGTGCATTTTGCAATAGAGAGTAATTGTTATTTATTATTTACAAGGTTATAGCATACATTGGCTATACTTTTTATACTCTTGACAAACAAAAAAAAAAGTAATATTTTTTAATCTGTAAATTCTAATGAAGATTTATATCTATGTAATTATATATGCTTTTGTTGTACAAGTATTTTGCAAGTTGGTAGATGAATAAGACTTTCATTGTGCTATATGAATTATAATTTATCAATGATGATTTAACATATCATATTGCAATTGCCTTTATAATGCATATGTAACTTAAATTATCCTTTGGAGAAAAACTTATCTAATATTTATTTAAAAAATATAAATATATATTTAAAAAATAAACCATTTACTAACAACACTTACTCACCTATGAACCGTGCGACATTGATAAATAAATTCACTTATGTATGGTAATCCAGCTTCGTCTAAGCAATTTTAAATCGTAACTTCACTTTGTCTTTTTATTTTTTATCAGCACAAATTTTTAAGCGATCCACGTATTATTTATTTATAGTTATTGGAATGATTTATTAATCTTTTTTAATTTTTGGTCTTTTTTACGGTATACAGATCAATTGACTGCTTTTGCCTTTATATTACTAGACCCTACAGGTATGTATACAATAATTTTTGCTTTACTTTTAGTAATGTGAATGACCATGGATATTTAGGTGATTTGGGACTTTTTTTTTTTTTTGTCTGTTGTATTGGACATGTTATACAATTTGTCACTTTACATTCTATACATATAAAATTATACTACGTAACACGTATAATTACTAATAATTTTGAGTAATTTTTGTTTTAAAATATTGTTTAATTACTATGAAAACGAAGTATATATAAGTCTATAGACATACAAGAGATTAAATGGGTGAATTTGAAAATGTAAAAAAATATAAATGATAGTGTATAAAAAATATTCATGAGCCTCAAACATCACCATAAGCTTTTGGTTGAGTTGGTCCACTAACAATATATATAAGCCAACAACTTAGATAAAATAAAACATGTCAATTAAATATACTAACACGAACAAAAAATCAATTGTTACAACTTATTTTATTTATTGATGTTTGTGCAAACTATAATATCGTTTTTAATATATTTCCTTCTTGGTTATCGTATAATTAATAGATACGAATGGACGTGAGTACAATTAATTATCGATTTAGAGAGATTTTGCAACATAAACAAGCTAGATTAGCCGTTAGGCGAAGGTTACTATTCAAACGCACTACAAATCATGAAGATCCTATTTTCAAGCGACGTCGTTACTTATTGGAGAAAGAAGCACGATCATTGCGATTACTGATGATGCAATTACGTCAATCTACACATCAATGTCAAGATGTTACACGTCAAGAGGAACAATTAGCCAATGAGATCAATATGAATGGTACTTATAAAAACCATTACTATTTACTTTAGAATAATAATACCTTGACTAAGGACTATATTAAAATTTTATAAACTTTGATTCCAAAAAGCTCTCTTGATAATGGGATAAAATATGATGCTAGACATGATGAGCAAATTGTCGTAGGGAGAGGTAATCGCCTTGCCAAGCTACTTAACCACACACATTATTGATATATCATTATTAATTTGATATTCACTCAAATAAATCATTTGCATGCAGAAGTGACTCATCAATATCGCAGAGATAAGTTTGATAGACGTTGGGAGTTTGGACCTAGAACAGTTGTGTGTCCTAATTGCAAGACCCTTATGTGGATAGAAGAAAGGGTAAAGGGTAGCAGTAAAACACACCCAAGGTTCTATCATTGTTGTCAAAGTGGGCAAGTTAAATTGTCGCTTTTACCAACGACACCGCCAAATTTGATGTCAATTTTGCCATATCAACAATTTCGAAACAATATTAGAGCTTTCAATTCTATGTTAGCTTTCACCTCTATGGGCGGTCGGATTGATCACAGTTAATGATGGTAGAGGCCCCTATGTCTACCGTATAAGTGGTAGTAATTACCATATAATTGGAACTTTACTCCCTGAGCCTGGAAGTGGACCAAATTTTGCACAGTTGTACATTTATGATACTGATAACGAAACATCCAATCGACTTCATTACATGGGGGGCACAGAGGCTTCTTCCTTAGATCCAAGAATTTTACAAGGACTACAAACGATGCTTGATGATATAAATCCTTATGTTGCAGTCTTCAGAAATGCCGGCAGTATGTTGCGCGATCAAGGTGAGCATCAATATTTGAGAATAAAGCTAATTCGCGCTAGAGAAGGCAAACAGTACATCCAACCAACCGCAAGTGAAGTGGTTGCATTGATGGTAGGTGATGGGACTGAAGACATAGGTAATCAAGATATCATATTGCAAAAAATAGATGGTGGGTTACAAAGGATTGATGAAACTCATCCAAGTTATATGCCTTTACAATACCCACTACTGTTCCCATATGGTACCGATGGTTGGAGAGTTGGGATACCCAAGGCGTCAAGTACAAGTACCAGTCGAAGTACTGTGACAATGCGACAATTATATGCATTTAGGATACATGATAGGGAAGAAGAGGGTGACACCTTGATAGATTCTGGCCGCTTATTGCAACAATTTGATGTTGATGCATACGCTGCAATGAAACAATATCGATTATCATGGATAAGGAGAAATCAAGGCAGGCTTCGCTCTGATTTATACAGTGGACTCCAAGATGCAATCAGGGTTGGAGATGTCAATGCTAATGATGTAGGTCGACTGTTCATATTACCATCATCCTTCACACGAAGCCCCCGTAATATGGCCCATCATTATCAAGATGCTACGGCAATTGTTCGCGTTTTGGGTCCGCCTGATTTATTTATAACTTTCACTTGCAATCCAAACTGGCCTGAGATTGTAAATGAGATATCTACACGTGGAAGTCGTCGCACTGAAGATAGACCTGACATTGTAGCACGTGTTTTCAAGATCAAATTGAAACAAATGCTTCGCGATTTGAAGGATAATAAGAAGTTTGGAAAAGTCATTGCTGGTGAGTTGTGTTGATTAATTATGTAATCATACAATAATTTTTTACATATCTAATTAATTAACATGGGACATATCTCATGTTTCAGATTTTTATGTCATTGAATTTCAAAAGCGCGGACTTCCACATGCGCATATTCTCATAACATTGGCTCCAGAAGATAAGCCTAAGTGTCCAGAGGATATCGATGTAATTATTTCTGCGGAAATCCCTGACAAGGATAGAGATCCTTTGGCATTTGAAACAGTTACCAAGAACATGCTCCATGGACCATGTGGGCCATGTTTAATTGATGGAAAGTGTTCAAAGCATTTTCCGAAGAAATTTTGTGCTGAAACCACCTTTGATGATAATGGCTTTGTGCAGTATAGACGTAGACAAAATAGAGAGCCCATCATTGTTAATGGAAGGGAGGTAGATAATCGTTGGGTGGTACCATATAACAGAGATCTATGTGTTAAGTACAATGCACACATAAATGCTGAGCGTGTTGCTACGAGAAGTGTGGTAAAGTATCTATACAAGTATGTTACTAAAGGTCAAGATCGAGCAACAATTGTCATTGAAAACAATTCAACCACACGACGTGGTCAAGAGGTACAACAAGGAAATAGAGTGGATGAGATAAAACAATACTTAGATTGTCGATATGTATCGGCCATTGAAGCATGCTGGAGAATATTTGAGTTTGATTTGCAACATCAATATCCTTCAACAGAACTACTTCAGTTTCATCTACCTGGTGAACAATTTGTAGTTTTCAATGATAATGATGATCTGCACACAGTCCTTGAACGACCAAGATTGCAACAAACCATGTTAACTATGTGGTTTCAAGCTAACAAGGATTTTCCAAAAGCAAAACAATACACTTACCAAAATTTTCCTATGGGATTCACATGGATTCGTTCTACAAAAAGGTGGGCACAACGACAAGAAAGACCTTGCATTGGTAGATTGACTTTTGTTCATCCAAATTCTGGGGGACGATATTACTTACGGATGCTTTAAACTAAGGTTTGTGGAGTGGAATGTTTTGAAGATATACGAACTGTTGATGGTGCCATCCACCCTACCTTTAGATCTACATGTCATGCCTTAGGGTTGCTTGACGACGATAATGAGTGGCATGAAACTCCGTCAGAAGCCCCTAACTGGGCATCGGGTTCATAGTTGAGAAACATGTTTTGCTCCATATTGATGTTTTCAGAAGTAAGTGATCCGAAACAGTTGTGGGAACAACATTGGGGTGAACTTACCGATGACCTAGAGAGAATGATGCAACGTAAAACTAGAAACCCTAACTTACGATTAAAACCCGAAGAGATGTAGAATCAAGGATTACAAGAGATTGAGCATATATTGAATAAACTTGGAAGGTCATTGACAGATTTCCCTGACATGCCACAACCTTCTTCGGAGTTAGCACGCAGTGCCTTAAATCGGTTGATAAGAGATGAACTTAAATATGACACACATGATGAAGCCAACATATTTGATACCTTAGTTAGAGGGTTAAACACGGATCAATATAGAGTATATGCTGCAATACTCGATGCTCATTCTCGAGATGTAGGTGGCTTATTTTTTGTCTACGACAGTGGTGGGACAGGAAAGACATACCCGTGGAACACTCTGATTACGAAATTCAGATCTGAAAGAAAGATCGTGCTCTCTGTGGCTTCATCGGGAATTGCTGCTTTATTATTGCCTGGGGGTAAAACCGCACATTCGACTTTCAAGATTCCTTTTGATCCTGATCAACATTCCGTTTGTAACTTCAAAAAAGACTCAACCCGTGCTGATTTGATCCGTGAAGCATCATTAATTATATGGGATGAGGCTCCAATGACCCATCGATTAGCATTTGAGGCGGTAGATCGACATTTCAAGGATATTTGTAGTGACAGTAGAGTTTTCGGAGGTAAATTGGTTGTTCTTGGTGGAGACTTCAGACAGATACTTCCCGTGGTGCCAGATGAAGGATGAGAATCTATTGTTGCAGCTACCTTGCATCGAGCGTCCTTTTGGAGAGACTGCCAAGTTATGTGTCTAAGGATAAACATGCGTTTATCTCGAAGTGACGTTCCCTCCGATACCCTTAAAAAAATTCGAGAATTTGCTGATTGGATAATTAAAGTTGGAGAAGGAGTTATAGCAGGAGTGACCATTACAGAGGAAGGTGAACAAAATTGGATTGAAATACCACGTGATTTTTTGATAACCAATGATGAACATGGTTTACAAAATCTCATTAACTTTGTCTACCCAAACTTGCCTTCAAATTACACGGATTGGGAGTACCTCAAGGATCGCGGAATTCTAGCACCAACAAACAACGATGTAGATGAGTTAAATTCGAAAATTTTATCAATGCTACCAGGAAATAGGAAATGTGCATAGCTACTATAGTTCGGATACTTTGGGTCATACAGGAGATGGTGGGATCCTTGATAACATGGAGCCTATGGAATTATTAAACTCATTAAATTTTTCGGGTCTTCCTAATCATTGCTTAGAGTTGAAAGTTGGTGCCCCGGTAATATTGATGCGAAATATGAACCAATCCATAGGGTTGTGCAATGGAACACGTCTTATAATCAAGAAATTGGGTTACAGAGTGATTGAGGCACAAGTGATCACAAGTCCAAGAGCTACAGAATCAGTTCTAATTCCGCGAATTGATTTAACACCTTCCAACAAGAAGATAGATCTCCCTCTTAAAAGAAGGCAATTTCCATTAAAATTAGCCTTTGCCATGACAATAAATAAAATCCAAGGACAAACGTTGAGCAAAGTTGGCATTTTTCTCCCTGGGCCCGTGTTTAGTCATGGCCAATTATATGTTGCAATGTCACGAGTTACGTCTCCTTCCGGGCTAAAAATCTTAGTACAAAATAAGAAGGATGTTTCTCACAGTTTGACTAAAAATATTGTGTATAAAGAAGTATTAAACAGTGTAAATTAGCTATGTATGTAGTTTTGTTATAACATTTGTTCGGTAACTCTTAGCAATGTTGGTTTTAGTGTAATTTCAAAGCTATACTTTTTTTTAATATATATTAGATTTTCTTTGTCATGTTAGTACTTCTATTTTACTTTAGTAAAGATTTATTTCATTATCTAAAGTATTTATATAACCTTTATACATGTGCGAGCTGAGGTTGGACCAATAATGATATATTATGTAAATTATTTTTTATGCCCACTTCAATGATGTTAAAATGCAGGAAATGAACACAAGATACACACCATGTCGTTGTATTACCCTTACGACATTGAATGTGAATATGAGAGTGCGTTTATTATGGATGGTCAATGAACAAAATAGAGCTAGAGGTACAAATTACGTCCATCATTCATGGAGTATGGTATTCATTGACTCAGAGGTTTGAACTATATTTTTATTTTAACTTAGTGCTTACTTTTTTTTTTCAAAATATTCATTTATTTGACACTTATGTTTGTATGAAATTTTCAATTTCTAGGGGAGATCTTGAAACAAGGAAAGGTTTATTCAATTGCTCAGCTAGATCTTATGCCTCTAGATACATCTTATAAATATTCCAATAACCAAATGAGGTTGAAATTTGGCAACAAGACCATGATAACAGAAATTCTTGATGATTGTGATGATATCCCAAGGTACAATTTCAGGTTTATTGAATTTTGCCACATTCCACAGTACCTTCACATGCGCAATGGTCCTCTCATCGGTATGTGTCTTTTAGTAATTAAAAAAATAGTATGAATATTTATTGCATTTTTCAAATTATTTTTTGAGTTTTAAAGGTCACATTCGATCTTTTTTTCTTGACGATGAATGTACACAGATGTTATTGGATTGGTTATATATGTGTCTGAATCATATAGAGTCTCGGGTGGGAGATAACAATTCAAAAGAGATGTGTTACTCTGCAACACAAAGTAAGAGCATGCTGTAAAAGTTACAATATGTTTATGTAATTATAATAACTTATGCATTGTTAAGTTTTTTATTTTCTTTTTTTATTAAAAAAAATTATGAAATATTTTGATTTACAGCATGGAAACAATGAGGCTAACTTTATGGGAAGGGTTTGCTCATGATCAAGGTCGTTTCTTATTCTATTAGCTTAATCAGGATCATGTGTTGGGTGCATCCATGGTATCAGTTGGCTCCTATTATGGTAAAATAAGTTTTTTTTTTTTTTTAAATTAGATAACTATAGAAAGACTATGGTGTCATTTTTATTATTATCATTGCTTTGAATACTTTTACTAACCTTCCAGTAGGTGCATGTCTTTCGACTGTTGGACGTACCAGACTATTTATTGATCCTGATATGGATGAAACTGATGATCTGCATGGCTGGTAAGCCTAAAAACATTATAATATACAATTTAAGTTTATGTTGCATACTTATGTACTTTTATAACTCATATAGGTATGCGGATGATGGATATGTCCAAAATCATATCAGCTGGAGTCAGATATTAGCCAATAGTATCTCTGAAATGGAAATGGTGTTTAATGCGAAAAGGATCAAGTTAAATCAGTTTTCAGCTGCTCATAATGTATGTATATAAATAATTATTGATTTCATTTTCTTATACATGAGGTATCTAATATTTGATGTGTGTTTTTGGGTAAAATACTTTCGAGTACTAGCAAAGGTGTTATCTATTGATTCTTCTATGCCTATTTGGTATGAATCATGTGCTCGACACTCAAGGAGAGCTGATATGTGCGTGGAGTGTGACCCCTCTTTCAGTAGGCCAAGGTTTTTTCACTTTTTTATTTTATTTAAAAAATATAATTATAACCTGCTTTACATATCACTATACCTAATTATATCATATCAATAATAACAGATATAGAATCAATGTAAAAATTGGTGACGCTACAAATACATTGTCTGTTACACTCTTTGGCCAATATGCTGAGATGATTACCGGTTGTCCAATATCAAGTATTCAAGCGATGACAGATAATGTAAGTATATCCTTTATTCATATATATTAAACAATTACTCACCCGCATAATGACTACATTTGTTATTTATGAACAGGAATTTGGAGACTACTTTCTAGAGGAGTATTTGAGTGAACGATTGATGAATACATTCACTTTCATACTACATGTTCTTGAGATAGGAAATGATGATATCATAGTTGCATCTGTTTTACAAGTAAGATGGGAGGAAGAATTCTATTATCTGAAACGAGAGATGCGTGGACTATCTAATTGAAGACTTAGATTCATTTAGCATAATATTTCAAGATTTTAATTTTTTTTTAATATGAACTCAACACTTTTTTTTTTTTTTTTTTTTTTTTTTTTGTAATCAATTTGGTTTTTGTTTTTTCATTTTTTTGGTTTTTGTTGTTATTATTTTTGGTTTTATTAAACACCATTTGCATCTATATGCTTTGTATCTTTTTAATCCTATCCTTAATTATAACCCGTGCATTAGCACGGGCATATTCTACTATCATTAACTCAAAACTCAAAAGATAAGATTTTTGTAATTATTTTTTTCTTAATCTTGTTGTTACCCTATATCCACTATTCCACTCTCTGACAAATGAGCAAGTGGCAAGTGATTAACGTTAAAGCGAGTATATTAAAAAACTATTGTACAAAAAATAATGCAATTGTATAAATATAATAACGCATAACAGACAAAATGTTCTTACTAAGAACTTCACTATATCAGTCTCATTCATTTCATCATTTTACAGAAAAAGCACACCTAAAATTTGAACCGCCATTAATCAATTTTCTTCAATATGCAGCGTTTTCCGCCATTAACAAACCTCTTCTTCGTCTTCTTCATCTTCTCCATTTCTTTAAGTTGGTGACATTGATCAATAATTTCTTATTTTCTCCGGTTTTATTTAGTTTATTTTTATTGAAATTTAAACGTTTTATGGTATTTTTGAGCAGGTTTTTTTGAAGTTGTTGTTTCCGAACAAGGGTTTTGCTCTGCTCCAACTTCCGCCATTAATGGCGAAAATTCCAAAGCTTTGTATTGGAAAGTTACTAACCCTACGCTCGCACCGGTTCATCTCGAAGGTTAGTTATTTGGCATTTGATTTTGTAAGAATTGTTTGGTTACGAATTAGGGTTTTGGGTATCGATTATTTATTTGTTTCGTGACTTTGCTTATTTGATTTATTCTAGATTTGTTGTTTTGTTTGTGGAGATGAAATATTGAAATGAAAATTTTATTTTAGTTAATTAGTCATGATCATTGGTATTAGTGAATAGTGATTTGGATATTGTGTTCGACATTTGTTGGCGAAATCTGCTATTATTTGTTGGTGATGTTTTTGTATGATGATTTGGTAGATACATGTGTTTGATGAACTGTTGGATGAGGGTGTTTATGGTTTAAACTTTAGTGCGAGTTAAATAATCGTTTTTCCTTTTAAAAGGCAGATACTTACTGGATTATTTGATAGAATAAGTATGTGTTTGTGAAGAACTGAGGCAAGTCAGGTAACATACAATACAGAAATATGTTTCTATTTGATGATTGTAGATTTGTTGAGTTGTATTATTGTACCTTAATTCAGTTATTTTGCTTGTTGTGGCTTCTTTGCTTGAGTAATCATGGTGTAATGCCAATTGTGTGCATGTTTTGAAATATGCCAACTTCAAGGCCTCCTTGTGAACTGTGTCCTCTTTAGCCCAATCCATTCGTTTATTTATTGTTTAGTTTTTCTTTTATGATTTTATTTTATGATTGCAAATGGTTTAAAGGTAATTGTTAGGATAATTTGGCTACTTGGCTCATCAAGTTTGCACTTTGCGGTCTGTGTTTTTCCGTCAAGGTTCCACTGTTCCACAGTTCATTATTTTCCTTAAGTGATAGTATGATATCATTAGATATGTCTCTAGTTATATCCCTACTTAACTCTTGTGCCTCATATGTCTTGCATGCAGATTTACCTGGGTTTACTCGAAGTGTATACAAAAGAGATTATGCGTTGATAACGCCTGA